TCATTTTCGTAATTCTTTTAAATAAAAAAATCAATATGCCTTCTTCATAATAAAAATCACCACCATATAACGATTAGGAATTACACTTCGAGTAACAAATGAGCTTGAAAAACATCGAAAAATAGACTGGCAAGATACTATTTTAAATTAAAGATCTATTAGTCTCTAGTGGATACTCCAATTACTGTAAAAATGCTAAATGTAGAATTTAATTATTCATTCAAATGTAGCACTAAAAGATAAAAAGGCATTACAATTTATTTCCTTTCAGCTATTATTTCTTTCTTAAAATTAAATTTAAATTGAAATTAGAAGTTTTCATGCTTAAAGAATAATAGGAAAATCGTTTTTTTATGCTTCGAATTCAATAATAAAAGATACACAAACACTATGTATTTTTCATAAGGTTAAAAAAATCCAGTGTTTCTTAAAAAAAAGGTTTTTTATTTATTTAAAAGAAAAAAAAATAAAATCCAGGTTTGTCAGTAAAATATCGATTTTTTTTCTCCCTTTTTAATATTGGCAATTAACTATTTAATTCGTAAAATTAACTAATATTTTCTGAGATACCCTATAATTAAAATTAAAAATTTAATTTATGAATGAAAATTGTAGTATAATAGTTTTTATTAACAATTTTGTAAGTTTTTTTCAGAATTTTTATTCATTTATTTTTTGCACAGATAAATACAAACTAAAATTTTAAGCAAAATTATTCATAAACAATGAAATTAAATATAAGAACAAATTGCAACCTTTTTGTTATGATAATAATCCATATGTGCCCATAAAAACTAAGTTTCCTAATTCTACTTCATTTCATCAAAGCTTTAATAACAGATATTAGATAGTAACTCTCAATTTCATTGTAGTATAAGAATTTTTATGAAGAAAAATGATAATCAAACAAATCATATGAAAAGAATTTTTTTTTAATTCACATGCTGTATATAAATAAAATTTAACTTATTTTGAAATAAATCATACTTTAAAAATTTTAAATTTATCATTAAAAAAATTTGTGCATCTACAATTTTATGGATAGAATTTGTGGAAGGAACGAATAGCCGAATATTCGGGACCAAAAAGCAACCTTTTTTTTAAAGGAAAAAAATCATGAATAACTATTGTTTTTTATAAATAAATAAGTTTAGTTATTATTGAAACTTAGCTTTTTTTATAAGTATGGGGTAAATGGAAAACATTTTAATAAAGATGTTTAAGATAATAAAGATAATTTTATAGATAATAAATAATAAAGATAATAGATAATAAAGATAAAGTTAAGATAATAAGAAATATTTAAGATAAATAAAAAAACTAACTAACAGCTATTTAAAAAAAATTAATGAACAAAAATAGAAATAGAAATAAAATATCGTCTTAATTCTTAAAATAAAATTTTAATGTTAAATACAATATTTTCTCTCGAAAAATTATCCATTAAACATCCAAAGAAAAAACACGTTATATAAGAAATGCTTTTAAAAATAAACACTAACATAAAAACGCCTATAAAAAATTATATACAAAAGCAAAACAGAAAAAATAAAAATTGATCTCAATTTTTGAAATTTTTTTTTAAAGCTAAACATTTCAGTTTTCCAATTTTCATACTTTCAAGAAGATGCAAAGTATAAAGTCTAATAAAAAAAAATTATATTGTCGCGTCATAATAAAAAAGTATAAAAACAGAAGTTTTTTTCTCTTTTTTTGAAAAGAAAAAGCTAAACAGAAGATAAAACAAAAATCTTATATAAGGTGTTCAAAGAGAAAACACGTTAGGTATATAAGAAACGCTTTTAAAAATAAACGGTAACATAAAAACGCCCATAAAAATTATATACAAAAACAAAACAGAAAAAAAAAATTTTTTGATCTTAATTTTTGAAAGAAAATTTTAAAGCTAAACATCTCAGTTTTCCAAATATCATATTTTCAAGAAGATGTGAAGTATAAAGTCTAATAAAAAAAAAAAATTCTTAATTGCCGCGTCATAATAAAAAGTATAAAAACGGAAGTTTTTTTTTTTTTTAAAAAAAGAAAAGGCTAGACAGAAGATAAAACAAAAATCGTTCTTAATAAAGAAATAATTTTTTAATAATCTTCCTAATGTTTGTTGCCTCGCCCTTGCCTATTTTATATTATGAGATTAAGAATAGAAGTTCATCTAATCAAAAGAAAGATTAACTACACTCCAGTATAATTCCGCACCAATAGAAATACTATTGATTGCGGTCAAGTCAAGAGTTACCTGCAATTTTCCGGAAGAATTTGCATTTTGGTACATAACTTTTTTTTCTAAATTTCAGTAACTATAACCTTTAATTTTACTTATCTTAGAAAAATAGAAACTAATTTCAAAAGCCTAACAAGACACAAAACAAATGCAAGGTTTTAGATAGTTTTCTAACTAAATAAATTTGTAAATTCACCTCTTCACTAGTGTGTGTGCTTCTTGGTCCTTTGTGATCTCTTTACTCATAACAAGGTATACCTACATTGGGTACCTGGACATATGGGTATTCCTGGAAATGAACTAGCTGATGAAGCAGCACGGGCTGGCTCTAGTGCGATTTTCTGGATCCCTGAACCAGCCTTGGGAATTTTTCACACATCATTCAGGGCATCTATATTCAAGCTCTATGACATTATTGCCTATGAGCAATGGAGCAACACATGGTCAGAGACGAGCTAAGGAGCTGAATCGGGACTGTCCTAGTGTACGTCAAAAAGAGCTTCTTAAGCTAAACAGGAACAGTTTGAGGAAGATCATTGGTCTTCTCATTGGACACTGCATCCTCAGGAGACACCTGCATCCTCAGGAGACAATGGGTATTGAATCCAATCCTCTGTGTAGAGGTTGTCATCTTGAAGAGGAGACTTCAAGACATATACTTTGTGATAGTGAGGTCTATTCTGCTTAAAGATTACTAGGGAATCACTGCATTAAGGCCTGGGAATTGCAGGATGTTCCTGTTAGGTGTTTGCAGAATTTCATTTCAGCCATGAGGCTTTCTTGTTAATCACGATTTAGGGTTTGGGTACAATAGACCTCTGGTCGATGAGCCCTGCTCCTTGGAGTTGCTCAACGTCTAGGTCTAAGTCTGACTAAATAAATCACTATTAAGAATTAAGGAACAAGCAAAAATTCGTTTTTGATTAAATAGGGCTGTAAGTTAGCAAACATTACTAATGTTAACTTCTAAATAATTGAAAAAAATTCAAGAAAGAATCATCTGCAGTTTATTTTATAACAATACTTAACACTAAAAAAAAATTTCATTTTTAAACATCCCTAACCTACAGAATTAACTGCCTGAAATTTCTGAATGACTTTTAGAATCAGGAGTTCAAAATCTCACTCACTTTGTGAATTTCAGAATCTTAGTACAAATGGTTATAAAGCTTTGAATGAGTAAAAAAATTTGCCAAGTTATTAATTTATAAACTTGAATGATACTTCATCACGCAAACTTGTAATAAATTATATAGGTAAGATATTGCCATTCTTAGATACATAATAATTATTTAGTTTACTGATACTTTCCTTGATTAACTGTTAAATTTGAAGTAAAATTTATCACACAAGCATGTTATTAAAAAAGTTTTTCAGTTTCATTTACTTCCCAGAACATCTTGCATTTTCAGTGGAATATTTTAGAAGTTCTTTCAAAAATTATCGCTAAGGGAAGCTGGTTTGAGAATTTGGGTACCCTTATTATTGAATAAACTTAGGAGGTTTAAAAGGCTATTCTCTTTTTGTTATACAGATGCTGGTTAATTAAACTAAAAAAGATAAATGTCAAGTTATCTGCACAGTAAGTGGTGAATGGAATTTAATAATGTTAAACAAAACCAGTCAGATAACACATGTTTTCTTTTTATATATCCTTATAATTAAAAAAATTAAAGATTTGTTTCATACTTGTTGTTGTCACTAAAACTGAACTTCCATTTGAAACAAAATCAAATGAAACAATGTAAAACAGAACAAGAATATTATAAAATAGAACATATGCGGTGACAGAAAATTCTATGCACCAAAATTACCCTTTGAGCACCAAATAATATCACACGAAGAGGTGTTGTTTAGTGCCATAGAGTGGTATGGGCAGTTTGCAAGATCATTTGGAAATTTTTAGCTTAAAACGATGCAAAAATTTTTATACCGTACAATTTGAAATATTGTGGAAATTATTAAATTCATTTGAAAAAAGTTAATTTACAATTATAAAAAAAAATCACAGAATAATCTTTAAATAAGTATTATAATGGAGATATTTCCACATCGGGATCTGTGGTGCCAACTACAATCGCCAAGGTGCCAAACAGATTTTAAAGTTGCAATTTAAAAAAAAAAATGCCTATGAGTTATTCACTTCGAGTTGAACGATTAGTCTGTCACAGATCAGGATACGGAAATATCCCCATAATGATGAGCAAAAATATTTTGATTTGTTTAAATGATATAAAAGGTAAAGCAAAATAAACAAGTTAAAATTAGCATTATTAGAATGAAACTGTTGAATGCTCTCCTGATTAAACTATTGAGACAATATTTCCAGATTGCGGCTATACAGCATATTTATTAGATCATAAATCCAAATCCATCGAAAAATTTGTTCACTCATAGAAACTACACTGTTGTGTCAACATTTTTAATTTAAAATATCATATGCACAAATTACCATATTTAAGGTTAACCAAAATCCCCTCTAAACTAAACTAAGCATGCGTACTTAGTTTAGGAAAATTCAATCATTAAAACAATATTGCTTGGTTAGTTATTTTTAATTTAAAGGGATGTTTAAATATTTAGCACACAGTTTACGTTCTACGCTTTATAGAAATTATTTGGTTGAAACAAATTACATGCAGTTCAAAACAAATGAAATAGGTTTCTAAATGAATGTTAAATGTTCAAAGCATAATTGTAATACACATAGATCGTACATTGGATATACATACAATTATTAATTTCAAAATATTTTACTTACGCTTAAGTGTCACTCAGTAAGGAAATTAATTTGTTTTCGAACTGTTTACTCTAAACTACAAAATGTAGCAGAGAGACAAAAATATCCGAAATATGCTCAATGAAAATTTAAAACTATAAAGATTTTATAGAATTCTAACTAATTAAATAGAGATAAAAAATAAATTCGTCGCACACAGGTAAACAATAGCAGACGTAGTTCTGTTAATCCTTTGATCCATTTAAAATGTTGGAATATCACAACTACTACACGGTCACGTGTTTAAGAAGAAATGATAGGTTCATATTTTCGCTACAAACCTCTTCATCGAAATATGGCAAAATACTGTATGCTTAATTTAATTTCTATTATGAAATAAAGTCTCAAAAATTATTGTTGTAATCCGAGAAACTGTCTTATAAAACAAAATCAGAATCATGTGTATTGTAAAAGAGTTAGGTTAAAGCGCAAAACTTATTACCTTATAAATCTTACTACAACAACGAGAAAAACATTATTTTTAAATGAATGGCAACTAATAACTTTTGATCACTCGAAAAAAGATGGCGACAGATGCACTCACAGATGATGATGATGCTTGGTTATATGGCGATAATAACTCTGAGGAACAACGTAAAGAAGAAATAAATGCTATATTTGATCGAGCAACAGAAGAATTAGTTCCTGGAGAAGAAAATTCAATCACTACTAATGGAGACCTTGAAGTAACTTTATAATGCAATTTGCTCTCTGAGATTGTGTTTAGTTACACTTCTTTATTTAAAATAATTCCTATCTTGCTTAGATTAAGAAAATATCTTCATTTTTTTGTATTCTGATTTTCTTCTGCAAGTACTTAATTTTATTAGAATTGATTTACTTTGCAAATTTTTCTAATCGTGTCTTTGTTTATTAGCCGAAGCCACCGGGTTCTGGCGATAATGATATTATTTTACCTGATGATGATCAAAAGTCGAAAGAGAATGATGAAGAAAAAGATTCGGATGAAGATGAAGACTCGGATGATGATGTCCAGGTATGTCCAATAAAATTGCTTAACTGCTTTGTTACTTTTAACAGAAAAAAAATCATTATTTTCATTGAAAAAGTTATTTGCATGAAAATACTGGGAAGATTTCCGTATCGTGAGCTGTGGCAGAATAATTGCTAAGTCTTGGCAACTTCCGGGCAACGGCCCGCATGAAACAAACACAAAAATTACAAAAAGGGCCCAACTCCAAAGGTATAACTAGTAGACACCCTCGAGCAAGCATTTACATGTTTCTTTTAAAAAATTATTGGTAGTTTAAAATCTATATGGCGATTTTAGTTGGTGTGGCAGATCACGATGCGGAAATCTCCCCAAAATCCATGTCATATTGTCTTAAAGACATTAGTTACTTTACCTAGTATTTTTTTTTTTGGGGGGGGGGGTTGTTTATGAGTAACAATGTAATTATACCGTTATTTAATTCTGAAATAAAGTGCTCTTAATTCTCCTGAGTTTGCTGTTGTCAATATTTGAGTTTGTGAATCTTAATAACTATGTATTATTTTAATCACTATGTAAAGTTGAGCATACTTATAGAATTTTCTGTTTTTTTTTTTTGTTTTTTTTTTCTCACAAGATCAGCTACATATTTGCTTGCACCATTCGTGATAGAGCTTCTGTGATTAATATCAATATATTTTACGCTTTCAGTTTTGCTGTAAAACGTTGCATGGAACTGACTTCATGATAGCAAGATATTGATATACTATTAGCCTTTTGGTCCAATATGTTTTGAAGCTTGTTTCATTATTTTATTCATTTTTGTGTGTACATCCTGTCACTTGAAGCAATGTAAACAAAAAATTAAAACAAAAATTGAATAAAGCAAAAATGTATAAATTCGTTCTATAAACAAGAACCTTACTCAGTGTCTAAATAATAGTTGAGAAGTAAAGAGACAAACAGATGCAAAATGATTAAATCAATAGGGACAGAGAAAGAAATGTGAAAAAGATAACAAAAGAAAGAAGATAAGAAACAGGTGTGAGGGGGTGGCAAATCAGACTACTTCATGTGGTGGTCAATTACGTAATAAACCTTAAAGTATTCATATTCATTGTGTGAGCTTTCCTTCTTTTTTTTTTGGTTTTTGTAAAAAATCTGAAATAAATAAAGCATTTAAGAATAATACACTGCTGGACAATTGCTAAGGACGGATAACGCTATCATCCATAGCAACCACAAAATGAAAGGAAGCAAAATGTGGAAAATTAGAATAAGTGCAGGATATAGTAAGAAGAGATATGTGTATGCAAATTTTTTTTCCACGTCTGTTTATCTCGTGATAGCGCTGATAAGAGCTTAAAAGGTTTTGACGCGTGTGGAGCGTTGTTGTTTCAAGTCAAAGTTTTACAGGAAAGATTTAGTTGACGAACTTGAAATTTTCGGCATGTCTTCCCGATATTACTTAGATGATTTTAAGCGTGGCCGAATTATGGGAAAGATCGAAGAAGGGTGAAAAATAACACATGTTGCCAGGGAGTTCGACATCGCTCACAGCGTTGTTTCACGGCTGTGGAAATCATTTTAAACTACTGGAATGTGTAATAGGCTGCACGGGGGAGGTCGTGTTAGAAGTATGACGCCTGCAGAAGACAGATACATCGTCCTATCAGCAAAAAGGAACAGGCGCACCACAGCTCAGCAGGTGGCAAATCAGTTTCTTGCTGCCACAGTAAAGCAGATCTCCCGAAAAACTGTTGCCAGACGTTTGAGGGGAGGAGGACCATACGCCCGCAGACCTGTTGTGTGTGTCCCATTGACCAGACAGCACCGTACTGCCCGTTTGCAATGGTGTCGTGAGCATCACAATTGGACTGAACAGGACTGGGCATGCGTACTATTCTCAGATGAGAGTAGGTTCAGTCTGTCATCGGATTGTAGACGCCAACTGATCTGGCGCGAGAGTGGTACTGGTTATCGTCCAGAAAATATCCAGGAAAGGGACCGATATCCGACATGCAGTGTCATGGTGTGGGCCGGCATCATGATCAATGGCCGCACGCGCCTACATGTGGTTGCGAATGGGACTATGACGGGCCAACGATACATTGATGAAGTTCTACTTCCTCATGTTCGTCTTTTCCGTGGTGCTGTCGGTGATAAATTTGTTTTTATGGACGACAACGCAACATGTCATCGAACACTCGCTGTTCAGGATTGTCTAGACAGCGAGGGTATTCAACGCCTCGTATGGCCATCACGTTCTCCAGATCCAAACCCCATTGAAAATATTTGGGATGCTTTGGGGAGGCAACTTGCTGGTCGAAACTATCCTTCGACAAACGAGAACACCCTCATCCGTGCACTGACAGAGGAATGGGATAAATTGCCTCAACAGCTGCTGGATAATGTTGTGCAAAGTATGATACGACGTGTAGAATGTTGCATCACACTCAACGGTGGACATATCCGTACTGACACCTTTCTTCAAGTTGCCTGCTGACATTTAGATGCATTGTTCCATTTTTTCGTACGCAGCATCAAATGAACATTTTTTTTCTTTCAGGTGTTTCATAGCTTTTGTACTTTCCAAAACAATGAATATTCTTTATTCTAATATCTGAACAGTGTGGCAACTATATTTTATCCTACTAGGCCTCATGTCTCGCTTAATGTTATGTTACATTGCAATTTGTGATCCGTCCTTATCAATTGTCCAGCAGTGTATTATTTATCAATATATTGCATTATCAATACATAATGCTTATTTTTTGCATATGAGCTGAAGTATCAATTTCTAAAAAAATTTATCTTTGAATAATTTACTTCAATACTAGTATATTATGAATAAAAATTTCATTATTCCACCACAACATATGCAAAATAAATAAATTAATTTGTATAGATAAGTACAAATACATAAATCAAAATTCTCTAGAATAAAAAAAATATCTACTCTTTAATAAAACTACATGGATGAAATACATTAACTCATTACAATAAGAAAGGAGACTGAAATTAACACAAATATACTCACAATATTTATTAATCTGTACTTGAAATGAAAAATTCACTGATTACCTGCACCACATGGGACATTTCCCATAGTATTTCTTACAAAATATTTATATCTGCTTTTCAATAAAGCCTTGAATAATGAAGTGCTATTGCTAATCAATTCATAATAAAATTGTAATGAATATAATTATTATTTGTTGAATCAACTACAATCCCTTTTTCATAAAAAAAGGCACACCATTCCAACTACCTTGAAAATCAACCTGCACTTTGAGATACTTCACTTTCAACTCTGCCAGACTTATTTACTTAACTCAATTATCCTCCTCTGTTGCCATACTTGGAACAAAAGATTAAAGTTCTTTGATTGCAGTCCATTCACTGCTGATCCTTAAACCCCCACTGATGTGAGCAGTCGGAACAACAAACATGTTCAGTTTCCTTCGTATGGATTGCCAAAAATTCAGTGTTTATGTGAAATATATATATTGTGATTTTGGTGTGAAAGTTTCAAGTTATAATGAGTTGTAACAGGAGGTTTCATAGGTACCTCAAGGTGCAGAAGATTAAATTAGAATTGAATTCTAAATGTTTGGCAACGGTGGGATACCAGAAAGATCATTAACTAAATTATACAAAATCATAGTATTAACAGATCATCCTTCGCTCTATGTAGTTAGAATTCTAATCACAGGTTTGAGTTTTCTTCAGCTAAAATCATTTTACACTGCTCTTTATAAACTTGATTTTTGGGAATCATTCTATGTTTTGAAAATTAAATTATTTATGTGCTGTCTTTTAAACATTTACTTTCTTTTTCTATAGGTTACTATTGGTGATATAAATACTGAACCTTCTTCAGTTTATCCTTATGGTGGAACTCCTGTGAATCTTAACATTAAGAGGGGAGGAGCATTCAGCAGTGGTGCTGGTATAGCAGGAGGAAAAACTAAAGGAATTGATTTGGATACTGTTGGTCTCATCAATGGAGTTTCTTTGTATGAATTCAACTTAGATACTATTGAAGACAAGCCATGGAGAAAGCCTGGTGCTGATATTACTGATTATTTTAATTATGGATTTAATGAAGATACATGGAAAGCTTATTGTGAAAAACAGCGTAAATTGCGTGTTGATAACCATGCCGCTCCAAAGGTATGCTATTTGATAATGATAACTTTTAAAATGCTTGTTCCATTTATGATTTAGTATAAAACATTGAATAAGCAAACTTAAGTTTTGTAATGTTAATATTAATTTTTTAAAGTAAGCTTCATTCTTTTTATTTAATTTATTTGTTTAATTTTGTAGATTAAATTTTTTTCCACAGCTTTATTTATTTATTGAACATGTTTTAAATTAATATATAATAGTGATTTGGCTGAATTACCAAATATTCAGTTAATATTAATTTTTTTAGATATAAATAAGTTTAGTTGTTATTATTTAAAAATAATCTAAGTTTAACTGCATTAATGGTATGGGATAAAAGAAAATAAACTTTAATAAAAATGTTCAAAATAATTAGATATTGAGATAATAAAAATATATTTAGGATAAGTAAAAAAACTGACTAACAGCTATTGAAACAAATCTCTGGTTGTAAAGGCGAAAAAGAAAGAGGAATAGAAATAAAATCTTGCCTAAATTCTTAAAATTTTAATGCTAAAAATAATATTTTCTGAATAGAAATTATCCATAAAACATTAAAAGAGATAGCAACTGCAAAAATGCTTTTGAAAATGCAGTGCTATCATAAAAATACCAATAAAAAATTATATAAAAAAGCAAAACTAAAGAAATAAAAATAGATCTTAATTTTTGATAGAAAATTTTAAAGCTAAACATCTCAGTTTTCCAATTACTGTATTTTCAAGAAAAAGAGAACCATCTTAATTACCAGGTCATTATGAAAATATCTATAAGAAAGAAAGTATCTGTAAAAGAAAAAATTCAATATAAACTGTTCTTCATTTTTAAATAAATCTTTCTTAATTTTTAAATGAAACAAAAAAAAAGCATTCTTACTTTTTATATTAAAGATTTCATGCTAAAAATCTCAATTTGACTTTTTCATATTGCTGTATTTTTAGACAAAATGACCAGGAATTCATTAGATATGCTCTTTGAAAAATGTTGCCATAGTAAAAATGCTGATAAGACGTTATTAAAAGAAGCTAAAAAATATTTCTTTTTCAGTTCAGAAATGTAATTTTAATGTTGAGAATCACAGTTTTCTATGTTACCTGTTATCTCTCTCACCATACACGAAGAAAATGACAAAAGAATAAAGTCTATTAGAATCTAGAAACATTCTGTTAAAATGCTGCACAGTAGTTAATACAAAAAACCCAGCGAAAATGAAACAAATTTTAAAAAATCTCAATTTTTAAAACGTTAAATGATGATTAAACGGTGAAATTGACTTGCCTTAATAAAATTAAAATAAGAAAATATCAATACAATACTCATGGCTCAGTATAAAGTAATCTAGTCTCAATTCTTCAAATTTTGCTTTTCCATTTGTCTTTCAGAACATAATTTAACAAGTTTTAGAACTTAACATGTGTAAAAACAATTTCTATTAATGTATAATAAAAAATTTAAAAAAATGCAATTTCGAATTATTCTGTATTAAATTTAGTCAAATTTCCTACTGAAAAAAATGCTTTTCCAAAAAACTCTTTGCCGAACATTTGGCCAATTATTCAATCAATCAAATGTTTGGCATAATGACCGAATATTCGTTACGTCCCTAATATATATGTACACAGTGGAACCCTAATTTTACGTTTCTCATCAGAGTAGTGTTTAAAAAAAGCGCACAAAGTGGGATAGTGTAAAATTGGAGTGGAAAAAATTTAATCAAATTTTACAAAAATTGACACTCACAAAATGAAATATTGGTAAATGTGCGTAATCTTAGCACATTTTTTGTTTTTAGATGTAAGTTTTACAATATCTAATTCAACACTTACTACTGTTTTCAAGTTTGCTTTATGGTTCAAAAATGGGAAATACTTAAAATTCAATTTCTCAGGAGCCGATTTTGCTCAAATTTTGTATTTTGACATGTAAAATTACATTCTTTAAAATTATGCAGAAAATTTTATACCTTATAATTCAAAAATTTTTCAGCCTTTCTTTAATAAAAAATAGTAAATATTTACTGAAAGTTACTCTTTGCATAGAATTTTCTGTGAATAAATTAATTTTAATCATCTGCAAAAAATTTTCAATTCGCTTAAAAGTTCTCAAGATTTAGCGTTATATGCAAAAAGTAAAATTAACATTAACGGGTTTAAACTTTTCAAAGCTCTCCTATCCAAACTATTGTGATGCTATTTTCAGTTTGCGGCTACCCCCTATATTTTGGGGTTCAGAAATCTGAATCTGTCCACTAGAAATTAAGTTTTTGTGTCTGATTTAGTAACTTAAAATATAGTCTGCACTTATTAATTAGCATATTTAAGGTCATCTCCTCGAGCCATGAAATTTGAGTCATAGAAAATCCTATTATTAGATTGAAAGTTATTCAGCGTGGTCCTCTTTTTTGCTCTATATTCATTATTAAATATAGCATAGAAATTTGTGCATGTGCTTCATACAGGAGTATTAACTGCATCTAGTTACAATATTTAAGTATTTTAAAGGCTAGTTTTCCTGTTAGTTATCCAAGATTATAAATGATCATCTGAGAAATGTTAATAATTGTTTCTTTTTTAATTTGATTTATATAAGTGTTCTGTAAAGCTTTTTATTAATGTACATTTTATAATTAAGCATTTGAAGTTTCACTAATTATGGATAATATAAATTTAGATGGTGCAGATCATACCTGGAAAAGATCAACAAATTCCTATTGCTACTGTAAATGAAAACAGTAAATACTCTGGCATAAGTGCTGCAATTAAGAAAGCTGGTCCTCCTCCTGGCAGAAGAATGTCTGGAAGTATTGATGTCATTTGTGGGGCTACTAACTCAAGGCGGTCTGGCAATGCCAAGGAAAATGTCATACAGGTATGGATCCTCAATGATGATAACATTATTGTTATAACTCTTAATTTTATTTTTCTTGGTTAATCTCCCTTTTTTTTTAATGCAGGTATTACTTTTTATGCATTCAAATGAGATAAAAGTAAACTTACGCATAATTATTCATTTAAAATATGCTGCATATAATTCATTTAGAATATCATGTTTTGAAAATTTCAATGATTTAAATTTATAAAGATATAAATTTTTTGAATGATTTTACTCAAGAAATTTTCAGGATTTTTTAGTTGGGCCCACAATTATCAAGAGTATGCTAAATGAGGGTAAAAAATAGGAGCAGTATATTACAGTATAGAATGTCTTTATTCTTTTTCCGATTATGTTGGCAGTTCAGTGATACCTCTTGAGAACAATCACACTCTTCTCCACAGTAAAATGGTCATTGATGGAGGTTGGTTGCCCTTAGGGGTTACCTCCATTGACTTGAAAATGTTATCAAAGGTACATGATTTTTTGCTAACAATTTTAATTTTAGTTATTTTCTTGGTGCGAAGATACCAATTGTGTTTGCGTTGTGTAAATCGGATTTAAAAACAATTTAGCGTCAATAAAAATTATCCCTACTGATATAATTATGTGTAAAAACAAGTTTACCAATTTTGAATCTCTTTCAGATATCGTCAAAAAGAGCACTCTAAATAAGAGCCTCGTGCATATAACTTGAATACAAGTTTAATCTACTTATTTGTTTTGTTAATGCTTTTTTTAATATTTTTTAATGTTACCTTATTTGACCTTTTTCGTGTTTTATGCAGAGGTTAGTCTGGTCACTGGGAGAGGTTTTGATGGTCTCTTTTAAGTGTTTTCTTCAACACAAATTCTGTGTAAAATTCAGTGCATCCCAAAAGTGGTCATAAATTGAGGAGGTCACTGCATAGAGGTTGTCTTTTCTGGAGATTTCACTATACTTTGGTCTTTTACTATTGTGAACTGGGGTTTAAGAGGAGTTCAAAGATTCTTTGACAAAGGGCTAGAAAGTCACAAAATTTATAAATATATTGGTAGTTGGCATTTCCTAAGGAAAAAACCTATTTCTTCCTAAACACTTGAAGAAAATTGAAAAGAAACTAAAAGAAATAAAATCCACTTATTGTTTTCAGAATAATTCAAATTTAAAACAAATAAAATTTTATACAGGATTTGAAAATCTATATAACTTATTTGAATAATTTATTTTGAATATTTTTGAATTATGTTTAAGGATTGAATTATGTAAAAAAAAGAAAAAAATACTTGGTAAAATATTAATTCAAAAATTATTATTTTGTGTCCAAATGCTTTTTTACTTAGTAGGATTTTAATTTCTTCCTGTTTGTAACTCAAAATTTGATGTAATCATATTCAAATCACTTGTGAACTTAAAGTAATCTGAGAATTTTTCGCTGATATTTAGCAATTATAATTTTCCATATTTAAATGGATTATCTAATGTTTTGAAAAAAATCAGACATCTTGGTTGATTTGTATGTAAATTAAACTTTTTTTTCTCTTATATGTTTGTTATTTTTGATCTGGTTAAGAGTGTCAGGAAAACTCAATTTTGAAAGAATCGCTTTGTGTGAGCAACTATTATACAGAGATTTTTTTCATTATTATTATGTGTAAAGGTAATCAGCCAATAAATATTAAAGCTATTTATTTTTATTCAAATGTAGAAATTAAATCTAGGACAAAACAATACGAATTTTCACTTTTCTTCATTGCGAAATTTAAAGTTTCATTAGACTTCTAAGATACAAAAAAATTTGACTTAAAATCAGAACAAAAGAAGAAGCGGTTTATCACTGTAATCAGACTTTAAAAATTTCTTCATTGTGTAGCAGTGAGATTTGTTAAATTGAGATTACTTTATGTCATTGTTTGTTAATAATTATGATTTTTTTTTCAATGATTAATTAGCATTATCCAAGTTCTTACATTCTTATAGTCCCTTTTTGCTTTATTTCCAGTTATGTTTGGAATTTGTTTTCTTTTCTTTTTTATAGTGTTATATTACTTTTGTAATAATTTGTTAACAGACAAGTAGTCTAAGTAATATAGGGATATAAGAATCTAAGTTATAAAATCCAAATTACCATAAGATAACATCAAAATTATTTATATTGTGTTTTTTTGTTTTTGTTTTTACCATTACAGTTTTATTTGATTTATTCTTGAAAGCAATACACTTTAGTTGATAAAATAAAACATCTCAATATTTTTTTAAGATAATTTTCATTTCTTGTGACTTACAAGTTTTCCTTTACATTTGCAGGTAATCGGTAGTTATGAAGGAACATCATTGCCTCCAGGTTTACCTCCAACACATTTACCACCACCATTTATACCCCCAAATTTATCAGTACCTCCGCCTGGTTTACCACCTGGTATACCCCCTCCTAACATTCCACCGCCACCAGGCACTTTACCGGGTCATGTGCCACCTTTTCCTGATTTGTATGGCAATCCAATTTTTTCACAGCCGCCACCTCCCGTACCTGGTGTCAATGTGGATTCCAATTCTCAATATGATGAACAATTCTTTACCGGTAGCTCACGCAATTTTGACAACAACTCAGAATCCCAACATAGCTGGACTAATTCACCTCATCGTGATAGAGATCGTGACAGAGAAAGAGACAGGGATCGAGATAGAAATCGTGATAGGGATAGAGATAAGGATAGAGAGCATTACTGGGATGACAGGGGTCGTGATCGACCTCCTGGTCGCATTCCCACAACTGAAGATGATTATAAGAGAAGGGATAGAGATGAGTATGATAGGAGGCGTTACCGAGATTATCGCGACCGTAGGGACAAAGACCGCTATGACCGAGAGTATGACCGCGATCATTATGATAGGGACAGAGACAGGGATCGTGATCGAGACAGCCGTGAACGGGATCGAGATCGCAGACACAGAGATCATAAGGATAGAGAGGATCGTCATAAGGAAAGATCATCTCGTCGCCGTCATCATCATGAAGATGAGGAAGAGCACCATTCGTCGTCCTCCCGGCATAAGCACAAGAAGACCAAGCGCGAGAAAGATGATGCCGCCAATCCTACTCAAGAGGGTTCAGAGAGCCAAACACAACCAGAGAATGAAGAAGAAGAAGAAACTAAATAAGAAAAATTCTTCATTTTCTGTTTAATTAGTTTAGCAAATGTAAAAAAAAAAATATCCACACTTAATTTAGTTCTTGTTTTGTATTGTTTTGTTTTTTCATTGCTTTTATGTTAAAAAAAAAGGAATTGTATATTATACTTTATTAAGTATTTTATCTTTATTGTGACTTCTTTTGTGAAAAAACAACTTTGTAATTTTTTCTTCTAATTTTATCCATACATTGCAAGTTCTAACATTTCATTAACAAAACTAGCAAAGTATCCCTTGCAGGTCAGAGAGTTTTCAGAATGCTCTCTAAGATAAAAAAGTATAGGGGGAATATTTTTATATCTTTGATATATTTTTATTATTTTAAGTGAAAATATATTTTGTAGGTCGTCAAAGTTTCACCCAAATCATGGGAAGTCCAATGCTTAAATATCAGCTCTTTTTTTTTTAAGAAAAATTGCTTCAGAATTTTTTTTATTTTTTCCTAGAAGGTAGACACATTTTTGTGGTCAAAGCTGTAGAATTTTAAAAGATGTTTTCTTTACAATGTATACAAATGTTTTCTAGTATTTTTTGTCAGAAAATATTTGTATACAAAAGTGTTATGATTGATAAAGGACACTAGTAACTCGTGTAAATTCACCTTTAAATTAATCTTCTCTCTAAAAAAATTTTTTACCTAATTTTTAAAACTATGTTTTTACTTTACACTGATACAGGTTTCGGTTTAATTACTGTTTATTAAAACCTTTGCAAAAATAATGCATAGTACATTTAAAAAGCAAATGGAGTAAAAATGATTAAAAAAAAAAAAAATTCTTACCAAAAAATGGAATTTACAAATTTTTGTTTAAATGAACAGGAAGAATTCACAGAACATTCATAAAAAAATAACTCAATACAACTATACAAAATTACTTCAATAATGTTCTCTTTTTTTTTTTTAATTTTACATATAAAATAATGTGTGCCCTCATTTGTTGTCTTTTTAAAAATTAATTTCAAATTTTTGTTTTATATTTTACTTGTAAGTTTTTTAATTACATACTAGCAATATTCAGTTTAAAGGAAGTTATATTTTTTACAAACACTTGCATCGTGTAAAAATTTTTCAGAAGAATAGATTGTGTATAAAATTTAATCGAAAAGGCATCAAAATAGATATCCTGGATTGGATTATGATTTACTAAAAGTACATTATACCTTAACAGTTCATGCTTTACTCTATTAATGACTACCTAATTAAAAAAAGAATCCTAGAGCAGTGAGTGAAAAAAGGGGGGGTACCCTGTTCCATGTACTAAATGCTAATCTCAATGAATTGTGGACTGTTAATAATTATTAGTGAATCAATCAAACAACAAAATCAGTCACAGAATACAAAATCAGACACACGTCTCTTTTTATATAGGTTTTATTCTTGACTATAACTATAGGGGTGGTAGCTGCAATTTAAAAGACAATTCATTTTTATTGTTATAAAAGATTATTTTTCCAGTAAGCTGGTAAAATTAAAATCAAATTTGAAATATTACTATGTGTCTTTTACAAATATACTAAACCCTGTGAGAAATATTTCGGCTTAAATTCAAAACAAATAAATGCAATTATGGCACGTGGACATAGAAATTGCAATTTTTGTGGCTGGCAGCATAGAATGTCATTGAAAAGTTTAAGGGGAGGGAATAGTGTGCTCCCTTCCATCCAATGTTAGAATGGCCTACTTCAATATACTTTGCTATTTTCGACGATCTTATTTTGACGTTTTTTTTTTTTTCTCTTGTTATGTTTCACATGTTAAAAATAATAATAATTGCTCTAATGGGATAGGTGGTGGTTCAGGTAATTGAACTCTAGCCTCCAGACCGTGGGTCGAAACCCTGGTAGCTGGTACCGCAAATGGAAGTTAAAAGTCGTCCTGTAGCTCAGGGAGTAGAGCATCCGCCTTCCAATGAGGTGAACCGGGTTCGAATCCCAGCGATGGCTGAACGATACTAATTCCGCACCGACCACGGTGCTAATTTGAAATATCCTCAGTGGTAGACGGATCATTTGTTAGAGTCCCCTTGCCTCCAGGCTAACAGTGGGAGGTTTTCCTCTTCATGTAACGTAAATTAGGGTAAGTTCAATCAAGAAGTCTTCCACGATAACGAATTTCTCTCAATACTTGATCCAGGAGCTCATTTGCCTTATTATGGATTGGGTTCAAAATTACAAGGCTACGGAGTTGAACATCAGTAGACATAAACTCATAAAAATTGGGTCGACTGTTCAACGATATTATAAAATAATTAATGCTTAATCCACAGGGGTTCCCAAGTCTTCTGGATTGGGAGTAAACATTAAGAGTCAAAATTTTGTCGGTTGTTCAACGACGGTTATAATTATTCTATTGGTGATTTTTGATAATTACGGCATTTTTTTTTTCCTTCCCTCCCCTTTAATTTAGAGACATCGAAGATTTATTGAAAGTGTGATGATTAATCTTAATATTACATGAATTGAGACAAAATGTATCTCGTTGCATCACCCACAACATCAGCAAAATGACTACCATTATCTTTTAATAGGAAATCAGATGTTATTTACTTTAAGAGTTGGTTCTAGTATTACTTAGTTTTTCCGAGTAACAGAACAACGTTGAATTATAATAAATTGCTTGTCATTAGAAGTTCGTGATTTCTGACTAATCTATGGAACTCCTCGCAATAGCTATGTTTTTATCCCCATACGATCGTAAGCACTTCCTGCTCTAAAAACTATTTGACTTCAAAATTAAAAGATACAGTGGTGTAAAAAATTGTACAGAAAGCACGACAAATAAAAAAAACTAAGATTCAGATATCAATTGTTAAACGCTTGTCGCTCTGCAGACGACCAGAATAGTGAGGTCGACTGAAATTTCAACTGCTGCCTAGAAATTTGATGTGTTGAAAGTAGCCATTTGAGAAAACTTTATGGGGCTTTACAACCTTAGCAAAAAGAAACACATAATGAAAAAACAATTATATTAAAATATGCATCTTGCTAAACAAAACATTTATTTATAAATATTTAACTCATCATGAATTAGAAAGCTGTGTATTCCTCACTGGTAAGATATTTATCTCTCGAACTTCTTTTTTTTTTTTCTTGTCTCTGTATTAAAACGGCATATTACAATCCAAAATGCTCCAAGAAAAATAAAACGGATCACCCTAAATAACTTTTGATCTTAATCTTCCCCATTCTTAATGGTAGGAGGGGTGACCTGTAATATACTAATTAATAAGTGCAGACGATATTTTAAGTTAGAAGTGAACTAGCAAATAAAAATCTAGAGTTGTGCTTGAAACTTAAAACAGCAAGTTTAAGCCAGATTTAATTAGAATTTCAAAAGGCATGCAAAGCCCCCATTGATATTTATATGAATAAATATTAGTTCGTATTTAAAGCCGTTATTTTAAATCAAATATACTATATAAGGAAATACTATAATATCAAATCGAAAATTTTTAGTAGCTCTTTAAATACTGGAAAAGTTTTTAATTTGTTACTTTTGGCTCTTTCGTTTCAATAGGTTGCTGACCTAGGGTGATCATCTATAGGGTTGAAGAGTCTTTAACAAAAGAAAGTTTAGAAAACCTCCTTAGAGAGAGTAATAAATATTTCCAAGACGAATTTCTGGAGGTTTCCTTCCAAATTCATTAAAAAGAAAAACGGAGTACACTGGGTTATGACGCTTGAAAAGCCACGCAAAGAAATACCTACGTGCTCTCAGCTGCTACTGGTGCAACCGTCTGGGACATCTAGCTGAAAACTGCTAGCACGAAAACTCTTTCTCCAGCTGCGGCGAGGTGGGACACAAAGCATTCGATCACAAGAGCACGTGTGTCAACTGTTGGGACTTAAACCAGAATCAGCATTTTATCGATCCTGCATCGTTTACGAAAGAGCAATTGAGCGAATCCAGAGATGTATCAGTTAATGATCACTGGAACAACTGTTTGTAAGTCAAACACAGGCAATATTCAATCGGCTACGATTTTAGTTCCTGTTCTTTGAAACCATCTTTTGCTGGATTTTTATAACTCTTCTTAATAAACAAGGGATCATGGGCCTTCCAGCTGGAGGGCCGTTTCCTGGGTCGGGGTGTGGTGAATGCTCTGGGCTGTCAGCTCGGATTGGTTGTCGTCTGCGACCCTTTAGCCACCGCAGCTTTGCGATGATGCGATGGGATCTTTTTTGACACCTTTGCTTGTTGACGTTTGGGGTGCTCTTACTCGGGCGTGACTTGGGGCCTTGTGCCTTTGAGTCTGCTTTCCTTGGTCCTTAAGTGCCGTTGCTGGATAGCTTCGTAGAGAGCCGTGATGGCTCAGGGAATAAAGCGTTCTCCTTCCTATAAGGTAAACCGGATTCACGATGGCTGGTCGATATGAATTCTGCATCCGGCTTGAACCGACCACAGTGCTGACGTAAATTATTCTCAGTGGTAGACGGATTATGGGTTAAAATCTCCTTGTCGTCAGGCTAACCATGGATGGTTTTCGTTGTTTTCCTCTCCATGTAATGCTAATGCGTGTTAGTTCTATTAAAAAGTCCTCCACGCTGGCAAATTTCTCCCGGTACTAGATTCAGGAGTATCCTTATTTTCTGGATTGGGTTCATAATTAAAAGACTACGGAGTTGAACATTAATGGTCTCAAACCTGAAATTGGGTCTGTTGTTCAACGACGGCTGTAAATGTAAATATTTATTCTTGGGAAGGCCCTATTGGCCTGGGTTGCCGTAATTTACCTTGTTAAGATTCCACTTTATAATAGATATTTAGATATAACATGATATAGACCATTTACACAACAGAATCTCTTCCACTTTTTCAGCTAAATTTCTACAGTCAAAATTTTGAAATATCTGTTTTTAACCCTCTATAAGTATAAATTGAAATTCGTTTTCAATGTGTTACGTGTTGTTGTTGTTTTTACTCTTTCCCCTGTTGTAGGAAAGCCAACAACAAGTTCAAAAGACCCCGTCGCCCGAGATCATCGAAAATCTTCTCCTGCACAACCAACAGCTGCCTCCAGGAGGCTCAAAAATAGTTTTGTGGTGCTGAGATTAACAACTTGGAATCTCTTTTAAATTGATCTTTGGGGACTGTTCTTGAATTCTCAGACTCCCACCAGTTAAACTTCAATCCTTCTAAGTCGTCAGCTGTATCTTTACTACGAATTGACATCTTCACAATTATTCCCCTGGGATCTACTTTGCAAATGGGTTGAATAGGGACAAATATCCAGTCTATCTAGGCTTTACTATTAACCATGAAATAAACTGTAGAAAACATATAGAGAAATGTGGCAGTTAAGGCTAGAAAGAGGCCGCAGATCATGAAGTATATTTCGGGTAGAGACTAGGAAGCTGATGCTTCCACTCTTAAAGTTACTGACAGTGCTCTTGTACGTCTCATTCTTTAGTATGGTAACTAGATCTTTCAGGCGGCATCTACCTCTAATTTAAAGATTTTAGATAGAGTTCTACTCAATTTAGCAAGAATTGTCACAGAATTAAGGAATAGCTGCCGAAGTGAAGCTGCTCTTTGCGAGGCTCACATTTTACCTTTGACTGCAAGATTTAAGATAAACTCTGTTAGATATTTTAAAATATTAACGAGCCTTCTTGATCTTAATAGGACTTCTAACTATATTTAAAATTGGACAAGCAACCAGCGTTTAAAAGAGATACACACCACTTGATCATACGGAGAAACATGGTTTCATGAATTTTAAAATTGTTTCATAGACTTTTAGTTGTTTACCTCCTACGGTATCATTTGAGAATATCATTTTCAATGAGGATTTGAAATCCCGTGCTAGAGTAAACAGAATGATCATCCTGAACTTCTAAAACAGTTGACCCTAGAGGTCATTAATATCCTTTTTGAGACCTTGGCTACACGAATGGTAGAAAATTTGAAGGCGGTAGAGCTGGGAGTGGTGTTTTCGTCAGCAACTGCGAGGAGGAAACTAAATTTAGTATCCGTAACTCTGACTTTTGCTCAGTCTTTAGGTCAGAAATTATTGCTACTGGGTGGGCTCTTGAGTGACTTTAAAAACTGTCATCCAATACCTAAAAAATTGGCCAAAAATGCATGATAAACCTGACTAGGATTTTCTAGTACATCTCTCCGAGCTATGCCTGAGGATATTAGTATGCCTCCATTGGATTCCTTCGCACGTTGGGATGTACGCGGTAATGAGATTACAGATACTCTTGCTAGAAATGGTTGTGATCTTCAGATCGCCAACTCAGTTGAGCTAACTCCTTCGGCAATCCACTCTCTCTCTACAAAAGTAAATTACTTTCAACTTCGCTTCTCTCACCAATTCATAACTGGTACGCTGCAAAGGGTTCAGGCCTATTTCTGTTTTGCAATGGCCCCAGGACTGTGCAATCGGCCTTGGCAAGATTCAAAAGTGGTCTCTTAAAATGCATGAAATCTCAGAATGAGGAGGAAACGATTTTTTCTCCTTCCCTCTAGTCCTACTGAGTGTTTCGTAATGAACGACATTAATATAGGTTTTTGGATTCTTGTTAGAAATAAAATAAAGTATATCCGTAAGGGATTGCAAATTAATGTTTAGATAGGAAAAAAATGCTATCCAAATCTAACGAATTGATTAATGAGGATATTGGGACAGAAAAAACCAAAACCTGTTTCATAGCCCCAGAAGTTGAAAAGTGGTAACTGAAAACACCTCTATGTCTTCTTAGGCAATCAAACTGGTTTTGATGTTTGAATATTTCTAAAGAACGGTTACTTAAAATTCGACGGATTTCGAAAGCGTAATTTTTAACCCCCCGTTTTAACCCCTTTGTGCCCTGCAATGCTCATACTTGTTTTACTTTATTTTTGACAGTGATTCAGTATATATACATATATATATTAAATGATTGTCATTACTTAAAACTTCGTACTTACGTTTTTTTTTGTTTTTTTTTTGACGAAGGGTATGGATATAAAAGTAGTCAAAAACTATAAATGACGTTATAAAAATTAATTAGAGTACAAAACAAAGAAAAAACGTTTGAAACTGTCTTTCTGTCAAAATGTTATTAAAAATGCCTCCTTTTTGTGGGTCAATAAGTAAAAACTGTAAAGTTAATCTGTATTTGACCGATGTTTTAAAATCGGCAGTTTTAATTTTTCAATGTTTAAGAAATTTTTTAAGAAGATTAAAAAATATGCTTCAATTCTTTAACATTTTATGTAAAAAGAAAAATATGTTATTAAAAGAAAAAAAAACTCCATTTATTTTAATTAATACAAATTTAAATACTTATGACTAATTAAACCATTAATTAATTTTTTGACAATTTAAATCTGCAATAAAAGCGTTTAAAAACTTGTTCTCATGCAACAAAAAAAACATATGAAAATTTTTGCATTGTAAATTTATAACAAGCAAAACAGTATGTCATTTTTTGTGATACGCATTTATACTAATTTTACGTCATAATTCCAAATTTTTGTTGTATTAAGTTTCAAGCAAGCTTTTAATGCATAAATATTAAAACCTTCTCATATTAAAAAGTGGACAGACTTCAAAAATAATTTTTGGATGCTTTTTGAAAAAAAAAAAAAAAAAATAATAATCATGAGTTTCAATTAAATTATTGTAGCCTTAAGACTAAAATAATAATAATTATTATTTTTACTTATTTGAAATAATTATTAGAATTCGGCTTTAAAAGTTATTTGTTAATGAAACTTTTAAAGCTGAATTTTAATAAGTATTCGTAACTTAATACAATAAAAATAATTATTAGTTATTTTTGTATAAAAATTGTTTTTAAAAAAATCACGAAGTTATTCTAGGAGGCAGTGTCGCTTCATTGCACTGCATTATTTAAAAGCTTTGATGAATAAAATACTTTTATAAATATCAAATATAGACGAAATGCATCGAATAATTGCATATTTAATAATATAAATTAACATATGTCTTTTTTTTTATCTCTTAAAAAATAAGAAAATTTCATTCAGATTTATGACTAAAATGTTTGCAACAAAACAAAAGAATAAAATATTTCAAAAAAAAATTCACCCGAACATTTAATGGAAACGTTACATTCTGATAAAAAAAAATCCTACAAATAAAACGAACTAATATCATCGAATAAATAATTCATAATACGGAAAAATCAAATTATGTTAAATTAAATGTAACATCTTAGCTTGCGAAATGAATTCTTGATGACTCTAATACAACGAGTCGCATCAGAGTAATCACGAATTCCTTCAACGAGAAATATTTTATTTACTTTTAACTCCCCCACCGTAGCCTTTCTCATCTGCAATCCGAGAAACTGAAATACCATGCTACCTGTTTTTTAATTGCAAAAAGTTGAAGAGAGAAAGAAAGAAAGAGAGCCTAGCAGCTGTGGATTCAGCCTGGTAGATAGACAATGAATCCAGTTCATGATTGAGTCACGTTCAAATCGCGCATGCGTGTTCTATCCAGCGTCCATTGAAGTCATCCAGCGGAGAAAAGAAGAACCCTTGGTCGGTATTTTGTTTGGAGCGTTTGAATTTGTGATATTTTTTAAAGGCAAGGGAAGTCACGTGCTTTTTAATATCATTTGAATATTAGATTTTCATCTGATCTTGCTGATCATCGAAATTTGTCTTCGAAAACTCCAAGATTATTCTTCAAAATGGCGACATCGGAAGTTTCAGGTCGACGTAAGGCGTCCAAGAGACCGTTCCCTGCCGCCGCCTCTGAACCGTCTTCTAACGGACCAGTTCAGGCAAGTGAACTAGTACCTACCCCGGCCAAAAAAACCAAAGCAAATGAGTCTGGAGTCACTAAAACCAAAGTTAAGAAAGAAAATGACGGTAAGTTACTTCAGTTTTTATATTTTTTACTGCTTAACTTACATTGCGCTGCGGAAAATATTTAAATTTTTCTTAGATGTCGATCTGGTGCATATGTGTGATTATTCACACGTGCTTGTTATATATGGTTTCTAATTGTTATAAATTATATAAATACGTTTTTTCTTCATTAAAATGTTTTATCATGTTAAAAATAACTATCAGATCGATTGTAAATAAAATTACATTAAAACTAATTATAGATCTTGATTACAAAATCCACTGTTTCTTATGAATGATTAATAAAATTAAAAAAAATCATAATGAATATTAGTGACATCAAGATTTTTTGTGCTGATTTAAGCCCCAAATGTGATGTTTGTTAACATTTTTACTCGCTTGTTGATTAATGTATGATCTGTTATTTATTTTGCGCTAATGTTAATAAAAATTAATGTTTGATAATTCCAAGCTTTAAGAAACGAAAAAAAATCCTTATTATAAATGATTTTTAATAAATATCTATGATTGACGTTGTGCTTCGAATAAACCTAAGTGTCAGGTCAAAATGGAGGAGAATAGCGTCACCCTTCCCGGAGACAAAGCGGGCGCTGGCATTGGTTGGAAGCGTGGCATGTAGCTGCAACTACCAAGAATGGCGTCCGTGGCGTTACCCGGAGGTTGCCGTGTACTGGGGAACGGGTGTTTGTCGGAGGACCGCGCCGCCCTAGATCGATGGCATAGGGCTTGTTGCAGCAGAGCCTGCAAGCGGGAACCGGTTCCGGTGGGGGCCCCGGGCCTGCCCCCGAATCACCGCGGCGGCTCCGGCCAAAGGTGAAGGGTTGGTGGATGGTAAGATCGTCTGCTTGTGCATCGATCGTGGAGGGGGCAAAAACCGGGGGAAGATTTCTAGTCTCCCGCTGGTGTAAGTTAAAATAAATGAGTTTCACTGCTGCTTTGGGGTGCTTGAACTAAACGTCCGATTTCTATTTATTGCATTTCGTTAGTTTCCTATTTTTGACTATGGCTGCTCTCAACACATTGAATCTGTTTGCTTTGATATGTTTAAGAGATATAATGAATTAAATATGTTAAATTTGCTTTTTTTATTTTATTATTTCAACTTATTTCATTTAAATGAAATATTTGCAATTAAAATTATAAGTTTATTTTAAAATGCATTAAATAAATGTATTGTATAAGGGTTACTAAACTAAGGCACAAAAGTCATACTAAATTGTCGTAATAGCCATTGTCTTGGGGATATTTCCGTATCGTGATCTGTGACGCCAACTAGATTCGCCAGGGTGCCAAATAGATTTTAAACTTGCAAATTTAAAAAGAAAACAAGCATGTACATGTTTTCCCAGAGGTGGCTACAAGTTATACCTCTCTAATTGGTCCCTTTCTGTGGTGTTTTTTTTTTTTTTTTGCATTTTCTCACTGGCCACTGCCTGGAAGTTTCCAAGACTTGGCTATTATTCTGCTTCAGATCACGATACGGAAATCCCCCCTAGGTGGACTTGAGGGATATTTCTGTTTCATGATCTGCCACACCAACTACAATCACCAAGACGCTAAATTGATTTCAAACAGAAATTTTTTAAAAAAAGTCTAGATTTTGGCCTGGGGATAACGACGAGTGGCTCCTTCGAGTTGATCCCTTTCTGCGATTTTTTAAAATTTCTCACTGGCCGCTGCCTTGAAGTTTCCAAGACTTGGCGATTATTCTGCCACAGATCACGATATGGAAATCTCCCTGAAAAAAATTCGTTTAGCTGAAGTCAATTTTAATTACTGCAAGATCGAGATGTGAAGGATCTCTTAAAGTAACCTAGGCTGTAATGCCCGTATGCAATTCACAGAAGTCTCAATGTCACAACAGCAACCACCATAAACTGCGTATGGAAACCAAACAATTGCAGGCTCGTTAGCATAAAGACGCACGAGTAATGCACCATAAATTTAACTGATGGGCAGCCTGAAAGCATTCAAAGCATCAAATCAAAAGCCATTGGGCTGAGGTACCAAATTCACTGCAGATGGGAAGATTTCAATGCCGACAGCAGAGTCACATCAGATACATCATGACCAATAGACCTGAAAGTATTACTTCTCAACAAATATTTCGTTCAAGCAATCAAAAGTTAAAATATTGAAGGAAAGACACATTAAATAAATACAAACAATTTTGGGTTAAAAGGCACGTCCCAAATGGTTTAAGTATTTAAAATTACATTAAAATGAATAGCCAAATTTGGAGCCTGATCGAGACTTTCTTTTCAGGTTCAAGTCAGGTGTAGACTGTCCTTCTTTGGAGTTATATCTAGATTTTCTTGACCGAATATAATTTCTTGCTAGTCAAACTATAGTGGTTAAGTTTCAGCTTGACTCCAAATTTTTAATTGGTTTTGCAATTAGTGCAGTAGCTCTTTGCTTACATTTCTTTTTCAAGTGCCCTTAATTTTCACAATTGGTGCAAGCATCTGCATATGTGCAGATCAAGATGTAAGAAAAAATTGGTGTCGTGAAAAAAACGCTATTCAGAAAACCCACTTGACTTGCAATTGTTCAAAAAAGAATACCATTATTTAAATAGAGTTTGACTGTATATATAGTAGTGCCTTAGCATCTCGTGAAATGAGTTTTCAGTGAGGTTGAAAGGCTCTTGCAAATAATCAGCAGGTCGGCTGGAAGGAGCGAAGTTCAACTGTCAAGCAGAAATCTGTTTTTAGTTCATAGTATCTGTTAATACCAAAGCACTATATTCACCTAAAAGTAAATAAATTAGTCCCTAATGTCGCAGCAATCACAAAGAAATTTAATATTGAAGACTCTTCTTGTAAACAGTAACTTTGTAAATAATATATTAACTTTCTATGTTGATAAGTTAAATTTTGCCTCTGTCACTGCTTGTTGTCAGAACTTAATCCAGGATAAAGTGGTTTAGTTTTACTTGTTTAAAAATTAAACCAAATTTACCAATATGAATTACATTTTTATGAAATGAAATAAAACAGAAATATAACTAATATGTTTTATATCTTTGAAATTAATTCTTTATTTGCATCTAAAGTAAGGGTTACACACACTGCTGCAAATAGCAACACCTAAACGAAATAAAAAAATATTTTTTTTAATAAAAATTCGTTGAAATTTTGAAATTATACATTTTTCTATCCCATGTAATTTTAATTAACGTAGTTTATCGATCATTTTCTTTTTATGGCTGGCACCATGGATTTAATAGTTTAAAAATCACAATATTTTTAATACAACATTATTACAATTCTCAAATTTTGAATTTTAGCTATCACTAATGACATTATTCATGTGTGCCAATTTTATTCGAAATCAAATGATTTTTCGGTAGTTATTGCTTTTTAAAATCAAAGTTATTTTTAAACACGTTTTAAAAAAATTTTAATGTTTTTTTTAAACAAGATAGTAATCTTAAAGTTTTGAATGGTGCATTTAAATAAACTCATTTTAATGTGCTTTTTTGCAAAAATTAAATGACTTTTGATCCCTTTTTTGGCAGTTACTGCTACCAATTTCCAGATGGCTTTTAAAATTTCGATATTTTCAGCACTTTATTATTATGAATCATGAGTATCGAATCATTCTTTTAGATAGCCGCTTTTTGACATAATCTATTTTTGCCAATTTTATTGCAACAAAATTATTTTTCAACCGTTATTTTGCCAATTATTGCTATTAATTTCTACATGGTTTTAACAATCCCAATATTTCTAATACGCTATTTCGACACTTGAATTTTGAATTCCGCATTTGAAAACATAACTTTTTTTACGTGATTCATTTCGGCAGATTTTATTGTAAATAATAAGTGATTTCAATAATTTTCTTTGGCAGTTATTACTACGCTTTTCCACATCATTTAAAAAAAATCCTGATATTTTTAATACTTTAATGTTACAATACACAAGTTTTGAATCGCTCATTAAAATAGTCACCTTTTGATGTATGCTGTTTTCATTGATTTTAATATAAAATTCTGTTTTTGGCAGTTATTGTTAAATTTTTCCATGTGATTTTGAATATCCTGATATTATAACACAATATTTCAGCTCACGAAATTAGATTCTGCTTTTTCCTTCTTTTTTTCTAGTAGCTTAAAAAAAAGTTTTTTTTTTATGTTTAAGATTTATAAAATCTTTTATGCATTTTTGGTCAGTATATATTATAGCGGCCATTTTTGGTCAATATGCTGTGCATGTGGCCCTTCACCTTAAAGAGTTTACCAACCTTAAACTGAAGAGGCCAAAACTATGGTGAATAAGTTTGAATTTCCTCAGTATTCCGAAGGAGTATGCTGAGTAAATTTAAACTTGTTCTGCAAGAGTAAAGATCCTATATATATTTTTTACATTCTTTAGAACTTTTTTTCTCCAAAATTTTAAAAAAAAATATACTATTTTAGTTCCTTTTTCTTACCAATAAAGCTGTGAAATTGGTTAAACACTCTGAAAGTTTGCTTCTAATTGTCATTTGTTAAATTAATGTATATTTTAAATTCTGGGTTTGTTTTACAAGATTATAATTATTGTTTTTTTTTTTTTTTTTTTATAGTTACTGTTGCTCACAAGGTCATTGATTCTGAAAGCAATGATAAAGAAAATCAAGGCACTAAACAAGGTATCAAATTTTGTTGTGAGATCTCTGTCACAAAATTGTTAGAAACTAGTAGGCAGTGTTCTCCCTAAGTGCTCTTCCTAAGTGAAACTAGTGTTCTCCCTAAGCCCTTTTTAGAAGGGCGACCAGACCGGCATGCTTCCTGATCCTTATAAATATGCCTTTTTTAAAAAAATAAGCTACTATCCCTTAAAAACACATCCTTTTTTATTCATATTCCATTTTGAAAAAAAAATTTATTTCACCGTTTAAGTAATAATTACACTCTGGTCAAATTATATGAGTTTATAGGTTTAATTCTGATTACTATTACAAATATTTACTTTGTTCGCATTATTCTCAACTCGTTAAATTCTTATAAGTATCTTGGAAATTTTAATCAATTTTTTAAGTGATTTTAAAATGAATTTTTAAATTAAAACCTTTTTTTAAAAAATACACCTTTAAATGCTTTTTTTCTCATAAATTTCAATTTCAATTATAGAAAAATCAATCATTTTTTGAAAAAAATGTATGCACAGGAATTGTTTTTTAGCACATGCCTTTAATTAAACTGCAAATTTTTCTCTTATTTTGATAATGAAAGATAATTTGTTTTTAAAATATACACATAATATCATAAAATAGTATACATGGGTAATTTAAAAATTATTGTGGGTCAAATTCAGTTATTACATAACATTACACATTCTTATAAGTTTTTATGTTGGTAAGTGAGTTCCCTTTCAAACCATGCCCTTTTTCAAGCCTAGGGAGAACTCTGTAGTATGATATGGTACTATGGTCACTATTTTTTATTCAAAGAAATTAAACAAGAAAGGGGCAATAATAATTAAGAACTCTTACAATATGATTACCTATTGCTATTTTGCTACATTTTATGTGTTTTTCTTCTTCAGTTCTTGTTTTTAATTGGACATCAGAGGAACTTACTCAGTTGGTCACAAATTTGTCTACTTGCTTACCTCGAACTGACAATGTGAAATATACTACACTTATAGACAAGCTGGACTGGGAGAAAGTTCGATTTGGACCATATACAGCTGCACAGTGTAAGGAGAAATGGATGCAAATAGTAACTAAAGTATGTATATCATAAGATAATATTTTTGAATTGTAATGTTCTATGTGATATAATTATATAAATTATTTCTGTAAAATTAAACTTTTAACTTTTGCAGAGCTCAAAGTTGTTGTAAAATTCCTTGAATGTCCTTAATTATTAAAAATTTCAATAAATGTCCTTACATTTTTGTGATTTTTCTTGAAGTTAGCAGGAAAAATAAATATTATTTATCTAAAAAAGATTGAAGAAATTTTAAATTTAAAAATTTTGTTATATGTCATCATGAAACAAAGTATATGTCAAAATTAACACCCAAGTCTTCATAATTTGTTGAATATGTTATTAATCTATTTCTATTGTTAGAGACAATTACCCTTGATTACTGATTTTCCCGAGAGGATCCTCATATTTTGCTATTATTTAACAATTTTCTGTTTTTATACCCTTTACTCCCTCTTTTTTTATAATAAAACTAAGAAATTTTTGTGAACTTTTTTTAAAAAAAACACCTTTCTTAAAAATATTTTTTTTTTTTTTAAATGCGGGAAATATTGAAACTATTACCAATTATGTATCCGAGCATACAATTTCGTATCTATTCATCCAGACAATTAGGTTATAATGTATGCAGTTTACTGCTTTTGTTATTGAAATTTTACAATTTTAAAGCTATAAAAAATATAACTTCTTATAGTGCGGCTTTGAGGAGAAAAGTCTGGGGCTGTCTGCTGCTATGGTAACAAGAAAGAGCACATTTCTAATGGGGGTAAAACGTAGAAATGATGGTGTCGATTGGTTTACTCACGCTGATCTATGCAACGTTCACGACAAAACTGTTCACCCCACACCCGTATTTGAAGTACCCGCCACTCCGTGAGCCACCCGCCACTCCGTGAGACTAATGTCTGGAGCAGTTCTCCTGAAAGCTGCGCTTTCCCTTTTTTTTAATGTGTTTTCTTACAAGAATTAAAAATAACTCAGATTCCTATTGTTCAAGCAATTTTAATTAGAATTTAATTATATCAATCGGTTTTTTAATTGATCAGAAATGAGTTGTTCTCCTTACTTTTCAGTTGCGCAGATTTCGCACATTAACTGACATGGTGACTGATGCTAAAGCGTGGTTGAAGCACCCGTGGTCTTCGTATAGCTCATCTAAAAAACAGGTAAAGCTACTGATTTATGTATATGCACACACGTAATGTTTTATAATGCTTTCTATATTTATTTATGTAATCCCTTGATGCGTTTTAATTTGTTGAACATAAATTAATTTTAGAAACATCCAGAGATGCCCAAGAAGCCTTTAACCCCTTACTTCAGATATTTTCTTGAGAAAAGAGAAAAATATAGCAAAGATAATCCAGAAATGTCTATGACTGATTTAGCTAAACTTCTCTCTAAAAAATTCCAGCAGCTTCCTGAGAAGAAAAAAGTATGCATATTTATTGCATTTTTAAATTACTGTTTACAATGAAAAAAAACAAAAAACTTCAGTGTTGTATGTATGTTTTTTTCTTTCTTTCTAGCAAAAATATAGAGAGGCTTATGAAAAGGAAAATGAAGTATACAAAAAAGAGCTTGAAAAATTCAAGTAAAATTCATTCTTATTGTTTTTTATCTATATATATATATATTTAATATGTTTACAGACTGAATCGCCAAAAATGCTTTTGGCAATGTGCTTTTTTATTAAATGCTTTTTTTTACAAAATATTTTTAACATTGAATATTGACTTGTGAAATTTAGTCATATCTAAATTTGTAATTAGTACAACAAGATCTTATTTTTTTTTAAATGCTTGTTTTTATTTTTATTAAAAAAAATTTCTTGTTTAGTTGTAATTTTTTGCTTCTTTCAATATCTTAATATTCCTTCTTGTCTTTCTTGTTTTCGGTTGCCACTAAAATTACCAAAAGTCAGCTTCTTAACTGTGTTACCATCACCCTTTCTATAAATATGACCAGCCTAGCCAAACTTAAATTTTTACTGAGCGCTCTTTTATATTCATGAAAAGTATTAATATTTTTTAAAATGTTAAGAGATTTAGGTATGAAAAACTTTTTAATGGCCGAACCATAAAATAATGCAAAATCTTAAAAATCGAAACATGTATATTGCAATAATAATAATAATAAATCAAAATAAGGTTGTCTTAAAATTTCTATGTTTCCAGTGGCAATGGTTTTGTTGATGAACAGTGAGAAACTGAGCATTTTTTTGTCTAAATAAAGAAAATGCTGTAGCTCGATATCAACATTTGCCACTTGATTTAAGAACAATAGTCTAAAGGCATATAGTATTTATGACTGAACCATTTTAAAAGAGATAACTTATTTGCCATACTTAAATAAAATTGACCGCAAATTTAGTGCCTTGCTATTAATGATAAAAATTTTCAGAATTTATACCCTGTTGATTCTATTCAATTAACGATCATGGAAATATGTGGAATATCATTTGAATGACATCATAAATGTACAAATTATGTGAACTTTTTATGTCTATTGCATGCTTAAAGCTAAAAAATGGTTTTCTGGCAACTTACCTCAATTTGTCATTATAATTTTTATTTAATTAAAAGCCTACGTTAAGTGAATGTGAATTGTCTCTTCATATTTCTCTTCACTTTAATTATTAGAAAGGCTCGTTGAATTAATAATTTTTTTTTTTGTTTAACTAGAAAGTGTCACCCAGAACAGTTTCCGACTCCAGAGATGAAACAGCAAGCTGCTGCTGCTGAAGGACCTGATAAGCCACTGAATGCTTTCAATATTTTTGTGAATGATCGTCTAAAAAAAGCTGAATTTAGCCAGGTAATTGTATTTTTCTGAATGTCAATTTAAAAGTTTTACGTTATTAAAATTAGACACAAGTTTTTTTTGTACCAATTTAAAAACTTGATATTTGGTTACAAATTTGATCTCTCTCTCTCTCTCTCTCTCTCTCTTCATTAAATACAGTTAGTATAAAATATTGTTTGAGGTTGCTTTTTAAAAATAAAGTTAAATTCATGATCAGCAGTAAAATCAAGTAATGTTGCTACCATAGAAAGTATTAAGCAGGATATGTATGGAAATATTCCACATTAAAATATATCTTTTTACTTTCCTGTGATTGATATTTTTTCTAGCATTTTGTTGCTAAAAATAGTATTGATTGTTACAAAAATGAAAAGCAAAAGATATTTAACATATAATTGAATCAAAAACTTGGTACAACTTAAAACAAATGCATATATGTTAAAGGCTTTTATCACCAAAGGTATCAGAAGAACTCTTAATATGAAATGGTTTTATAAAAAAATATTCAAAAATAATTAATTATTTAAAGACAATAAATATACACATACACAAAAACCAATAGAATTAGAAATAAAAAAAATGCATTGCACACACTATTGGAAAACTGTAAAAATTGAAAGTAAAACAGACGCTGGACTGGACACCCCAGGTAAACGAAAGAGAGGTAGACCTAAAACATGAGTGAGACCCAAAAAGGTTTGAGTTAAACCTGTTTATCTCGTACCTCTTTATCTCGAAAACCTCTATATCTCAAAATTTCTAAAATTCCTTGCATTTACTATTTAAAATCGATGTATTTTCAATGTCTATTTCGAAATCTTTTATTTCAAAACCTCTGTTTCTCGAATATCTAATAATCTTGCACTGCCCAAACAACATAATTAACGTAGAAAGTTAAGTGTCATAAATCTTTAAAAGGATTATTTTATGTGTTAAATGTATGTTAAAGTTTTTTTTTTTGTAAATAGATGTATGTGGTTTACAGAAATGTCTGTATTTTTCTACTAAAAACAATTAAAGCACTTTTTATCAAATTTCTTAAAATTAAATTAAATTAATTTTTTTTAAGTGCCCATATAACTGGAAATCTCTTTATCTCAAATTTTCCGTTTTTCCCTTGATATTCGAGATAAACAGGTGTGACTGTATTAACAAAACATAGAGAGACAAAAAGTACTTGTCTGCCAACAGGGTGAGATGGAGAGTCATGACAAAGGCCCAATGCTCCCTGAAGAGGGAGTTGCTAAAAAGTCACCCTATTTAAACTACGTTGGGCAATCTTCTGATGGGTGAGACTTCTGTGGTTATGTTGTTAATAGACAAAATTTACTGTAGTTATTCTGCTTTAATTCTTCCAGTATGAATGACTATAGTTGTAGTATGTACGTATGCAGTACACTATTTTTTATTTGTATGTAACTTTCTATAACAAGACTTAACCATTGAGCCGTATGGCTAATAATCAATAACTTTCTGTACTCTAAAGTATAATTATTATATAATTGTATATTTTGAGTATCTTGCACAAATTTATTAAGATAATCAAAATATAACTTGTTTCTAAGTCAGAAATAAATGTCTTTTTATTTAAAATTCCTGATCTTTCTAAAAAGAGATTAACTTTTATATTATAGATGGATAAGCGTGAAACCATGGAAAAATTGCGTAAACTATGGACTAACTTGTCAGATAACAAAAAAGTTAAATGGATTAGGAAAGCCATTCAAGATGAGCAACGTTATGGGGTATGTTAATATATTGCATTTCTACTTTTCCTGCTGTGTGCTTTGTACTTTTAGTTACTAAAGCCTGTAACAATTTAACTTTTTTTTTTTTAAACAAAAAAAAAACAGATGGAAGTTGAAAAATATCGTAGTGAGCATCCTGATTTTCATCCAGAACCTGTCAAGGCAGTTTTAAGTAAAGCTGAGAAAGAATTGAAGGATCGTTGTGACGGGAAACCAGAAAGACCACCTAAGTATGTATTGTTACTCTACCGATTCGATATTTTCTTCTTCTTTGTCAGCACAGCAGCCCCTTACAGGCCTTGGCTGCCTCAACAGCTGACAAACAACAGCGATTGCAAAGAAAGATTATTTTGTTGCTTCAACTCTTTCTTTACTCTGTTTTTTGAATTTAAAATCTATAAATATGAAGATGCAGAGTATATCAGTTTATACCTTTCATTTCAGTGAATGTTATTATAATGCTTTTTTAAATTTATTGTTGTGTTTTTGTCGGAGAAAATAATAACTTCGTTAAGTCATAAATTTGAAAATCTAGAATATAGCAGATACCCTGTATAAATAGTGAAGCATAGATAACTTACATTACTAAATCTAGAAGTTTTGTTTCTCTAAACCTTGTGTACTGATTAAGTACAATGACCTAAACTAGTACTCTAAAGCCTTTATACCAGGGTTGGCAAGTTTTTGACACGTGACGGTTTTTACCGGTTTATACCATGGTTTTTACCGTCATGTCAAAAACCCCTCTGTCAAAAACGTCGAAAACTGTCAAAAACCCATAGTTTTGGTAAAACTGTATTTTTGAGTTTAACTGCTTATAATTTAAAATTAATTCATTTTTGGGCAATAAAATTAGAAAAAAAGTTGTTAAAAGATATTTAAGAACAGATTCTTGCATTTTCCCAACATGATTATATCAAAACATACTATTTGAAGTAAAATATTAGGATACTAAACAAATTTTTCAACATTTCCAAGCATCATTTTGTTTGGCATATTACATTACTGAAGAATGTCAAGTCATTCTTGACTTAGAGTTTGTTAGTAGTTACAAGCTTTGAAAGTTTTGCTTAGCTTATTTCTAATATTTCAGAAATGCCAAATTTTAAATTCTTTTTAGTTCTTGAATTTATTAGTAGTTCCAAGCTTTTTTGTTTGTTTGTTTATTTCTAACAATTAAGAAGTGCAAAATTTTGAATTCTTTGCAAATCAAGTTATAATGATAAAAGTAAGTATCATTATTTTCAATAAGTATATTACAATATTTCTATATGAATGTATATCCTTCTATAAGAATACATGTATATAGTTGCAAAATAATAGCAATCATTTACAACATTTATTTATAAAGGCAATTATGTGAAAATAATATATTGCCTGCTATATGCCATAAATTAAAGAAAACAGTAGGTTTTTGACAGTTTTTACCACTGTCATGTCAAAAACCAGTTTTTGACGGCAAAAACCCAACCCTGCTTTATACTGATTAAAAGCTATTACAAAAGTATTTACTACCATATTTAATTTGATTTAGAGAGTAATTATATATATATTTTTTTTTACAGTTCTGGATACAGTTTGTTTTCACGCATAAAGTTAAGAGAACTGAAGGATCTTCCATCAAAATCAAAGATGGGTGAAATCTCCAGGATGTGGAAACAACTCTCTGATACAGATAGGGAGAGCTTAAACAAACAGGCTCAGATGGTATATAAAAATTTATATTTATTACACTTTTAGGTGACTTACTCTAAGTGAACTGCATCAATGACCTGTTATGTTGCAGATTTTTATGAAAAAATACTTGATTAAAACAGATTATTTTTCCAATTTTTTGAACTGAAACTGCAATTAGGTGACGATTTAACAAAATGGCATAATTAGAGATGTTTGCACATATGTTATTAGTGATTGCACCCTTTTTGTTTATGATCCAATTTTCTTAATTTTATATCATTAGAATTAAAAAAAAAGTCAGCTTTTTATCTAAACCATAAAAATTCTAGATAAATATATGTACTTGAGTATTTAAAAGTTTTCATTTATTTAACTTGTAGTAAAAAATGTCACACGAAGAGTTATGTTCCATATCTATGGGGGGGGGGCATGTTTATTCAGCGAAAGTACGTTTTCGTGCCTGAGTTACTTAAAATGTCATTTGCATAGCTTATTTAAGGTTAGGCCTTCAAATCATTAAATATGACTTCTTGACTATGAAATCCTCCTTGTATATGAAATCCAATAGGACCCTGGGATGATTTAAAGAATGATTTAAATTTTCTCTTTAAGCTATTAATAAAGAAAAAGAAATTCTTTTTATATTTTTATTTAAAGTTAGTTTATAATTTTACCTACACACTATTTTTTTTTCTCTCTTTTTTTAATTATTTTTTTTAATTTCCCATAACCCTTATGGTTTTGGTGTATTTAAATGTTAAGTTGAAAAACTATAATGTTAGAAAAAAAATTTGAAATGTTTGCAAGAAATTTTCGCCTACCTATTTGGGGTTTATTGTTTGTTTTTTCTTTTACCATTTTTTAAATAATTAATATGAAATTGAAAGGTCCAACTTCCTAAAAAAGAGTTATTCACATTATTGTATTACATTATTAATTATAAACTTATAAATATGTTCAATTATAAATAAGGGTATTAAATATTTTGGAAATAAACAAATAATAAACTAATTTTTTAAAATTTATTCCTTTTTTAATAAATGTTTATATTTATCATATTTGGGAAATGTTTGCTAAGCAAGTGTATGCATTTTTAAGTTTATTTATCCTGCATGATTTTTTTTTTATTGAAGTAAATGCTTGGTGTTGGTGTATAATTATGAATTTAATTTATACTTTATTTCTTTACCCCTTACCTTCTTTAGGTATTTCATTAATTTTTCAAAAGCTTCATTTATTATATTTTCATTTTCAGGCTATAGCTAAATATAAGGAAGAATATGCTGCCTATTTGAACAATTTGCCTGATAATGAGCGGGAAAGGCTTGAAAGTGAGGCAAAACCTGCCAGCAAAAAGAAACCAGCCAATCACATTACTATTGAAACTGTTAACAATGATGTGACAGAATTAGAGGCAATTGAAGGAGCTAGACCAAAAAAACCTTTATCTGCAATGTTCTACTTCCAACAGGAGAAATTCGCTGTTACTCGTCAAAAACACCCTGAAATGTCCAAGCAAGATGTAATGAAGATGCTAGCAAAGGATTATAATGATTTATCTGAGAAGAAAAAAGTACGTTTTAATGTTAACGGTTGTGAAAAACCAATAGTAGTGTTGTAAAAATCTCGTATGTCGTATAACTAATTATGCACTTATTTGTGATTCTGCTAGGTTTAAAAAAGTAGGCTGCTTTATTTATGAGTCCTTCTTTATTAAAAACTTATGCCTATTTAAAATATGAATCCTTTACTTTCATATCCATTTATTAATATTCACATTCATAATTTTTCTCCATCTATTAATATGCACTTTAATAATTATTCTATCTATTGATAGACAAAGCAATTTCGAAACAAGAAGAGTAACATTTAATCAAGATATTTTATTAAGACTGCTTAAATCATAAAAAAGCAATGCTGTAATTTGATATTCAAGATTATTCCATTTCCTCTGTCAGCTATTAATAAAGAAGAAAAAGAAATATTTTTAAATATATTAATTATTTTTCATCCCCTCTCAACGATTTTTGACGCAAATAAGCATTATCACTTGACTTATTGAACCTTTGTAGGAAAACAAGTTAATTTTAAATTCAATTTGATGTATAACTTGTTGTAGTTAGTCTAAATTAATCTGTTATAATACACCTGTGAAACTGGATCTCTAAAGAGTGTATTTATTTGCATTAGTTTTTTTTTATTACTTAAGTGTTAACGTTGCTTGTTTATGGGATATTTTCAAGTATATTTTTTTAGTGAAAACTTAATACATTAATTTTAGACACTCAGAAATTTGAAGATTTATATATATTTAAGCTGGATAAAAGATGTTTCTTAATCGAAGCTGGAACCTATTGTCAGTATCTTAATAGCATATTTTTCAAACTATAATTTGTTTAAAAATATGAAGAAGAAAAAAACTTAAATGCAGAAAACAATATTGTCACCTTTCTTAAATTTTAGGATTCTGATAAAACCTTAAATTTAATTACTTTTGTACTCATAATATTATTTTATATATTGTTGCATCAAGTTTTTTTTAATGTATTTTATTGTTTACATACATGTTGCTTAGCTTTATTTTTAAAGTTGTCTTAACAATGCTCTTAAATTTGTAGGAAAAATACAAAAAAATTGCTGAAGAAGCTAAAAAAGCTTATGATGAAGGATCAACTTCAAAAGGGTATGGAATAGTTAATTAGTTTTTTCCCTAAGTTTTGTTTTATTACTTGTAATATTTGTATGGAGATTTATCTAATTTGTCCAAAAGTTGTTAGTCTACCTTCAAAATAATATACAGTTTGTTTTTTAAATATTTTTTTACTATTAAGATTCTATTATCAGGGATCTATCAGGATCTTTTATCAAGGTAAGGTTAATAATTAGAAGCCAGCATTTTATGGAGTATAAAGTAATGAAACAGCTTTTTGCTGTTAGCTAATGACATTAAGAAATTTATTTAATATTATTTACGAAGAAAGTAAATAAATAAAATGATCAGAAGTATGGAATGCAGTTTTAATGCACTAGCAATTACACAAGCTAAAATATTATTTACATAATATTCTTTTTCCTTTCTAAAGAGAAATACCAATTTATTTTTATTTATCTTTTTAGAAAACATGAAACAACAACTAGTGGGAAAAAGAAGCTATTTAAAGGAGAACCCAAGTGCCCTCCTCAGTAAATAAGTTTCTCTTTTTATACTTTTTCATTAAATTTTGTGCTATAAACTATTTTTAAGTACATAATCTACAAATAATAGTCATCATATAGACATTTATATCATTCAGAAACTAGTTGTAGTAATGGATGTGTGTAGTCCATTATTGGTGTGCAATAAAATAACTCTTAAAAGAAGGTTTGCTTGCCTTTCTGAGCTTTATATGAGCTGTGTTTCCAAATATCACTGATAATTGGCATAACTTCAAAAAATAGATAAGGAGGGGCCTTTTGTAATTACTCTTCTATTACTCATTTCTTTGGTAAATGCAATGAATGGGTTTGTGACTGTTCAATTGTGATCACTTTATTATTGTTACTCTGTGGCAAAATATTTTCAGGCTTTTTGCAACAAGCCTCTTTCCACATTGAAAGTAAATAATCAAATAATTGATTTGAGTTATGCATGTAATAAAATTGTGTTGAAAAAAAAAAGATTTTTTTTTTCAAATGTGAAATTTTAAGCAATAGTATACTGGTATTTAATTTTTGTTATTTATTTAATTTTTTTTTTTTTTCATTTAAAAAAAGGTAGAAATTTGTAGTAATTGCCGTAAAAAGTTATCAAAAGGATACATTTATTTACAATGGAATCGATGCGAACTGTGAGCAATAAAATAAAGACTTGACTACATGTAAAAATGTTTATAGATTTTATTTCAATTAAATTTTTTAAGAAAAGAAGAAATGTACAGCATTAATTAATTATTTTGATACGAATCTGAATTGGTAATAAAATCCCCACTCAGTCAAATTTTATTATAAAAAGTAACGTATGCTATTGTGTAAAATATGGCGTTATTTTTGCAGAAAAGAAAATCAAACTTTTTTGCTCCCCAATGGAAAAATTTTTTGGCAAGAACTCTGTAACATTGTGACAATGTCACCACGATTCTGCCTTGGGGATCGTTAATACGGCAGGTATTGCCACCTATATAATCGGTAAAGTGTACACATTTTGTTTTGTTGCACCAGTAAACATTTGAAGCCTGCCATTTTTTTATTTTTTCAATTAACATAGTTTTGTTTTGATAGCCACTGCCTTGTTTATTGACTTCAATAACTTAAGTTTCAGTTATATTTATTAAAAAAGTTTTTTTAATACTATCAAAAATTTAATATTTTAGAAGTGGCTATGGATTATTTTTGTCGGAAAAATTGAGTGAGTTAACTCACATGGATCCTAAACTACGCATGACAGAAATACCTAAATTATGGAAAGCCAAGTCAGCTGCAGAAAAAGATGTTTATAGTAAACGAGTAAAGGAAATGTTAAGAAAATACAATAAAGACATGCAGAAATTTTTGAAAGTAAGTAAAAAATGATTATTTCAAGGTTATTGTCAAGGTTGTTTCAAGGTTATTTCAAGGTATTTATTTGAAAATATATTTATGTTTTACTTTTTCTTTTCTTTAAGGGTCTTACAGTTGGGGAGTTTCAAGAATATGATAAATACAGAAAAGCTACAAAAAAGAAAAGCAAAAAAGGAGCTGAAGCAATACAGGTTTTGAACTAATTCAATGTTTTTATTTGTCTGTTATAAAGTATAAATTGTCAAAATATTCATTCTTTGCTATTTTCTATTTAGAAAGTCATTAAAAAGGAATCTGAATCAGATAGCTCTGATGAGGATTCATCTGATGATGACGATGACTCCGATAAAAGTGACGGAGATGGTTCTGGGTCCGGGTCGGGCTCAGGATCAGATTCGAGTTCTGGATCTGATGATTCTGGCAGTGACTCTGGAAGTGATGATGACGACGATGAGGATGATGATGACGACGAGGACGATGATGAAGATGATGATGACGATGAAGATGAAAAAAAAGTAATGTTTCATGTTAAGAAAAAGCCTATTTCATCTGAATATTTTTGTAAACTAAAGTTAATTCCAAATGATTTCTTTTTCTCCTTTTATGCTTGGGTTTTAATTTACTCCTTTTTCAATAACACACATTTGTAATTTAGCACCTTAAAATTTTCTTTTTTATTTATTTACTCTATTCCTTTTGAAAAGAATTCCATTCTCATTAATGTCAAATAATAATTAAAAAAACTGATATAAAAGTGAGCCATGAGATACTAAGTAGTTTAGATACTGAGCTGTCGTTATGAATTGCTGAAGTTCGATCTCAAGGGGGGGGCAGTTTAAAACTCACAGAAATTCGGATGGAAAGGTAACAGGTTGTCTGGAAAGTAAAGACAGTTAGTATGCAATGCTTGCTACATTCCACCATTGCTCACAAAACTAAAGAGTCTTGACCTACATAGCACCCTTGGCTCACAAGCGGCTATTGCAGGAATGCTTTGCTCTTTAATATAATTTAAAAGTTTATTTTTTGTTTTATCTGCCCTTTCATTATTAACTTGTGTAGCTCGGTTTAAGCATCATGGCTGTCTGGTTATGTTATTTACACAAGAGTTAAAACATTTAGACCTTTTAAAAATGATGCAAGTGAATTTTAAAATAAAATGTCTTCATACCTAATAAACAAAATCATATTTATTAATTTTTCAAATTAAACTTATATGCTTTATACCAAAAAAAAAAAAAAAAAACAACTTAAGAAACTTGATTTTTAGAGTTTATTGTAAAAATAGATTAAAAACCAGTTTCAGAAATTTATAGCTCTCGACTCTAAAAATGTACCTTTCTAAGATAAGGGCACATATATTAAATCAATTATCCAATTTTTTTTATTTTATTAATAGATTTTTGCAGCAAATAACATAAAAATAACAGCTAACTTTGTACATCTTTTTTACATCAATCACTGAAAAATAACCTAATTTTTTCATTAAGCTATACATATCTCTACTTATTTTTCATTTCACTATTTATTTATTTATTTTTTGAAAAATTATAATCTGAATTTAACTTGGCCAACATTTGAAAACATTGGGGGGGAAATAAAAACAAGAAAATTTAGATACAACAATAGTACACATTGGGTTTAAGTAAGAAGCGTTAAAGTTCAACCCAATTCTTTCATTACTGAGCTACATCATTACTTAATCATTTTGCAAAAATTATGAAAATTAACAATGTTTACACTAAAATGTAATTTTTATTTGTATTTAACAGAAAATATTTATTTAATTTTTAATTAAAGAACAAATTTTAATATTACAAACAAATGGAAAAGAGAGATTAATTTATGAAAATTAATCTACTGATTTTCTCTCAAGACTGATTTCAGTCCCCAACGACTGAATGTGGCACCTGTGGTTCCAAGAACCGGAAAAACCGATAATATTTGGATTTATTACCCGGTTGAGTATAAAACATTTTTGTAATGTATAAGAGTTGTGTAATTTTCTGTCAGTCTATGTTTTACAAGGTAATAGTTCTGAAAAAATTTGTATTGCATCTGTATAAATAAAAACATATCTAATTTTTAGATATTTTTTTAAACTAAATTCTAAAATAAAGTCTCTATAAACTGTTATGATGTAGAACCCTGGTGTGTAGCGTTTTTTAAAGGTGTTTATTTTTGATTTTAGTTTTTTAAAAGTGCTTATTTCATTGGCTGTTTTTAAAAAGTGCTCCATTTTCCCTTTTTGAAAATGGGATATTTTACTTTATCATGTCGATTTTGCCACGTATTATGCAAAAGCATGCTTTTTGCATTGTTCTATTCAACATTTTCACATTTCATTCAACCACACTCTTTTTCAGCATACCGTCGGTCCATAGCATATGAAAGTACTAATCATTTTACGTGGTTGATGAAATACGTGTGAGTCCGCATGTGCGTCTACTGAGCAGGGCTTTCTTTTATCTGTTGATATGAAAAAATATATTTAATAAAAAAAAATTCCTTTTTTTAAATTTCATAAAATTCTTTTGTCTATAAAAATGACAGTTTTTTTTAATTTTTTTATTTTTTATTATCTTCTTTTTTTGTACAAAAGAAAAAGTTAAGATAATTTTTTTCTACCTGCAATCACATGTCCGATTATAGTATAGTAATTTAAATTGGTCTTACCATAATTATTTTATTTATTTTTTGCTTTACAGAATGGGGAAGATAATGAATCAAGTTCTAGTGATAGCGACTCTGATAGTGGTAGCGGCTCTGACAGTGGAAGCGATAGCGATGGCAGTAGTGATTCCGGATCCGATAAATCAGACAATGACGAAAAGAGCAGTTAACTCTAATCAGCCTATCAGTGCATTCATATAAACATTATGAGGATGCATTTCTTGTCCTCAGCCATACAAGTGCCTATTTCATTTTTGATTTTTACTGTAAGTTATATGTATAAAAAAAATCGTTGCTTTATGTTGAAGTATCCTAAATTGCAGCTGTACATCTCATCTCTGCAACCCAGTGCAATTAAATTGACTTAATTTTTGACTTGTTAAAAATTGCAATATCCTGGGTATTTGTATGACTTTCGTATATTTGAAAAGCATGAAGTATAGCATACATTTCATGACTTGATACTGTGGACCAAGCATGCATCTAATAATGGATTATTCTTTTTTAAATATTAAGCTTAGAGTATAATCTAGAAGTGTTGTTATGAAAAACTTATGTTACTTGACTAAACCAGACATATGTTTAAAAGAGTATGAAAAATTATAACGTAATCTTTCCAGATTTATAAAATTGTGTAATGTTCCTAACTGAATGAAATTTTGTATATTTTTAATATATTGAGAAAAAAAATGTGATCTTTTTTTATCAAATCTTCCAAATTAAGTCTTCTGAATCACGGTTAATAATCGGTTAAATTCACAAAGGAATATGTAAAGTGCAGAGACTCCAACCTCTAGTCAGTTTTCCGCTGTAACCATGAAACATTTCAGTAGTTTTCAATCCCTTTTAATATAGTTCCCTTTTAGTTTCAGCAAACTTAAGGAATTAATAATTAATTGGTGCTAAAAATAAACAAGTTTTTCCTATTTTGAAAATTTTGCTTGTCCTAATAATGTTGCAGTTCAAGTATCAAAATTTAAAAAATTGGGAAGGAATTTTCTGATAACATAATAAATAACTTATAACTGCCGAAAAAAGGTTTATACTGTAAAAATGATTAACATATGTTCCAGCTGCCGGAAATGATTGGGAAATAACATTAATTAACTAATGAAAGCATCCAAATAGAGCCTGCAAAATATTAGGCCTAAAAAATTTTGGAATTAAAAAAGGCCGAGTAGAAATGAACTAAGAACAGTCGTAAGACAATTTAGATTTACAATAGAATCGTCAGGCATATCAAAAATTTGTATTAGAAAATATTGAAATTCAAAAAATCGTGTATGAATGGCTGAAAAAATAATCAGAAAATGTCAATGTAAACATGACGGAATCGTTTAAAAAAATGGTTACTTACTTGTGTAAGTCGTATTAAGTATATCAGAATTGATAAACTTTATGTGTGGAATAAAGAACAAAAAAGCTGCCAATAAATTATTGGAATACAGGTAGTATTTACAATGGAATCATTGTGATTTGGACCCATTGAGAAGTAATAATTTATGTTTGAATATCATGTGGATATAGCCAAGAAAAAAACAATAAATGCTGGGAAAAATTACCAAAATCTTAGGAAAAACTACCACTGGACATCAACTTTTCCTTAGAATGGTTAATAATTCTTGTAGTAGCAAACGGAATTGTGTAGAAATAATGCAGAATCCGTACTAGTTGGAGTCTCTGTAATATGAAAGGATTTTATGTTGATTAGGTAAAGTTAGTTTTTAAAGTTACAAAGTTAACACTAGATAACTAAATTGTAATCAATGTTACTCTGTAGTAAACAGTGAAGTAAGAAAGAAAAAAAGAATATTTTTGTATTTTAATCATTTATGCCAAGCAAATAAATAAGCCTGGCTTGAGAAGTACTTTTAACATTTGCACACTCTTTGAAGTTGCCTAAGTTTTAAGGTAATATCTGGACTTCCTAAAACTGGCAAAAGTTGTTATTCTCTCAGACTACAAACTTTTAGAAAATGTTTGTTTATCTATATTTAATAGAAAAGAAAGCAAAATTAATGAAAATGAATAAGCTATAGATCAAGCTCGTGCTGCTATATAGATTTCATTTTTGTAATTCTTTGAACTAGTTTTTCTGGAACAGAATTATTTAACAACATATAAATATTTTGAAATATTTATCACTTGTTTTTTTTGTTACTTATTTTTAAAAACATAAAGACATTTAATCCATATCAACTACTGTTTAAATTTTTTTCATTTAACAACGGGTATTTATTTTCTAATTTAGACAAACATTGAGGATAAAAATGAGCCTCTTACGATTCTAATTTTTAAGTTTTATTGGTTTTTATCCATGTTACAATTTTCAATCAAATCAAGCTTTCCTAGTTTTGTGTATATCTATGCTGATTAGTACTACGGTACGAATTTTTTTGTTTTTCCCTTAATGATTTTATGATATTTTTACTAAAGTGGTTGTTTTGTTTTTTTCCTTAAAGTTAATATTTTTTTATTTCATTTTTTCATTTATTTTTGACAACCACTGCAGTGATTATGTTGTTTTGTGTGTATTAGTTCTCCATACTGTTAACCCTAGTAACCTAAATTTAAATCAGCGCCATTCTGTTACAAATTATTCAAAGACTGTAGCAACTTGATAGGTTTTTTTTTTTTTCTTCTTCCTCTTTTTGAAAACTTTATATATATACATAAAATTAACAAATTTCAAAAATAGTTTTTAAATAAAAACGATTTATATATATTTCAATATCTTTATAATTTATTTAAGAATTTTTTCATTTGCTAATTACTTATTTTACTCTTAATTTTACAAGTGAAAATGCATGAGTTTACAATCTTCACATTTCAATCAGCCACCTTCTTGAATTTCATAAAAATATTTTTACATGTTAATTTTTCTTTCTTTCTCATTTTACCCTTTATTTGATTTCTTACTTAGACAAATTATTTAAAAAATTTACTTATCTCATCATAAAATTTACTTATCTCATCATTGAATAGTATGCTAGAAAACTGGGTATTTGTGGTAGGGATCAACAATTAGAAGATTAATATAAATATGAACCTTGGTATTATGCTGAAGCTTCCCCTTCCCCCTTTCATTGCTTTGCTAAAAAAATTATCTAGCTTAAATCCAGGGATGTTGCTATTACTAATTTTATTTTACTTTATTACAAAAAAAAACTAAGGGTTTTTTTTTTTTTTTTTTTTCTAGATTCTTTTTGCAGCATGCTTCACCACTAATCTTAGCATGATTAGTCTAATATATCATAAAGTGACCTAACTTTTGCAAATTGAGGGATTCAATATATATTGAGGAATAATTTTGGAAAAAAAAGCTGAGTTTGTTGCCTAACAAATATTCCATAAAGATAACTATTAAATCTGCCAGGTTTCTTCTATATTTTTGATCATTTTCAATACAAATTTGGCTTTATGATCTGATAATTGCGTAAGAGTTGGGTTTTGCAAAATGTAAATTAAAAATAGTAGAATGGTTAGTCTGGTTCACATAATTTGTTATTTCTATTCTAATTTTTCAATTATGAGTGTCCTGTAAATTTTCAACATTGTATGCATTATTTCCTATATTGTAATTAAAGATGCAAGTTTGTAGGAGGGAAAGAAATTCAGGGAAGATTTGCAGTAACACAAATTCTGGTACAAAAAATCATACATAGTTAAATTTTTCCTTCAAGTGGTTCATGTTCATTAATAATATTTAACCAGCATTTCTACTTTTTTTTTTTAAACACAAAGGATTAGAAATCTCATTGTCAAGTGCAATAGCTGGTGTTACCCCTCCGTTTCTATAAATTTTTTTAAGGTTAATTTAACTTCAAAAAAATAATAATAATAATAAACCTTGTTTTTTAAAAAATGTTTGTCGAAATAGCAGTATTTTGTGACATTCATGGAGTTCAAAAAATAAGATCACTTCGATAAATTATACTCCGCTGTAAACTTAAACCCTTATTATTATGATGCAAAAACTGGGCTACAAATGCAGGAATAAACTATTGTCTTATTTTATGTGATGTGATTATTTCTAAGGAACTGAGCAATGTAAAAGTTTAAATTGTTTGAAAAATACAAAATTGATGAGTCTAATACACACATTTGTTGTTTTTTGTGTTGTTCTGATTTTCAGTTATAAATATGTATGATGTAAGCTTTCAACATTGTGTGCATTATTTTCTATATTATTATGATACAAAAACAACTATAAACATGACTATAATTTTCAAGAGTTTCTATCATCCATAAATCATTGAATTTGATATTTTTAAACTTTTGTTGCTAATTTTATTTTCCTTTTTTTTTTCTCATATTGATCATTTTTATAATACAAAGTGATTTTAAGACAAACCTTTTAACTTAAACTATTACTTTAATAAATTAATATGCGATTTAGATTTTAGATTATAATGAAAGATTGAATAGCTTTTGTAGTTCTGTATTTTTTAAATTACATAATGTGTATATTTATTTAATGCATATTATATTATGTAGAAAAAAAAACTGAGCTTTATACTATCTTTTATAGAGAATGAAAAAGTGACAGATTTTGCATCATCATAACTAAGTATACTATCATTATACTACGTATAATTCATAATATAACACTTGAATTTGTATATGTATGCACAGACATGTTTTTAAAGTGCTGAATATCTGTAAAATATTTGTCACAACAGTCTTGATTACAATAAATAAAATACGTAATCAATATTTCTATGTTTTTCTTGTTACTTTGTCACAAAAATTTTTACTCTGGTTTAGAGTTTTTTTTCTTGCGATTCAAAATTACATTTGCTTCAAAAAAGTTTTGTCACTATAATTTATACTATATTAAACATTTATAGCACCAGATTACGAACTTAACTGCAGCTAAAAAGTAAAGATCACAATCTAGTAAAATAATAGAGTTTGTGCTTATTTTCATAGTTCAAGTAGTTTTTTTTAAATAGGTCTGTTTTTCTGGCTACTAATTATTATTATTATTATTTTTTTTTTGTGTGTGTGTGATGTCAGTAAGACGCAACCTGGCATTATATATCAGTTGCTGAAAATCCATATTTAAATTCACAAGCAATATTTCTTTCCTTTTTCATTGAGATGTTGGGAAAATTTAACTTTTTCATATTAAAAATAAAGATAGGTTACGAAAACCACTTGTAAATAACATTGTTTTCCTGATTCACAAATAGTGTGCATCAAATATATGAAGCACTAAAGCAGCGTTTCCCAATTGGTGTTCTCTGAACCCTAGGGTTCCAAGAATTAGTACTTTTTTTTTTTAGCCAGTAATGATTTTTTTAAAACCTGTTATAATTTTGTATCCTACAGGGTGCGTTGCGTTTTTAAAAAGTGCTTAATTTTCCCTTTTCGAAAATTGTTTTAATTTTATTATATTTTATGACAGCCGTTGAACAGCCTACCCAATTTTTGGGTTTACGATGACTAATTCTCAACGCCGTAGCCTTGTAATTTTGAACCAATCCAGAAGACAAGAAAACTCATGGATCAGTACCCCCAGAGGTATTGATTTGTTATGGGAACATGGAGGACTTAGAGACTTGACAGATTTAACGTGCGTCAGTCACCATTTACTACACGGAGTGTCTTCGACCGGCGGGGACCGAACCCACGAATACTTGGACATGGATCCCTCCGACCAGGCTATCCCGGCTAGCCTTTTCGAAATTTATATTTTTTTCGTCTTTACCATGTCGATTTTCGCTATGTATTATGCAAAAGCGTGGTTTTCACATTGTTCTATTTAACATTTTCGCTAATCATTCAAACACAATGCATTTCGGCGAACCACGTATGAAAGCGCCAATCATTTTACATATTTGAAGAAATGCTTGCTGGTCCGCATGTGCATATACTGAGCTGGATTCAGTGGGAATTGTGTGCATTTTGCTACAGATTCTCAATTTTCGGTTTCATTTTCCTCAGTCGGAAATCGAACCGAAAAATCTCTCTTATCTTTTTATGGTTGGTGGCTAATGTAATAAAATAAAAAATATTTCTTTGTCAGAAACTATTTTTTTTCGTGATGTTTTAAAGTCTGAAAGTTATTTTGTTAATGTGTATAGTGCTTAATGGGTGCTTATTTTTTGTTGAAAGCTTTGGCTATGCGCCTTGATCCTACCAATAATCCATTATTTATTTAATATTAAGGCTATTTTTATCAAATTATGTATGTAAAATTGAAATACGGAATTTTAAAACTTGTTTTTTCCCCCTATAACATTACATTCAATAAATTGCTAAACGATATGCATTTACAAATTATTGCATCAGTGAACACAATTCATTGAACTTCAAAATAAATTAGCCAAATTCAAGAATAATGAATTTTTTTTCTGATACCATTTCTCACAATTTGTAACGGTTCTTTTTCAAAAATAATAATTCAGATTATTTTAAATTTAAACGGCTAATTTTACTAGACTTAACTTATACTACCAAAAACGTAGCCTCTGCAGACTTGCGAATTCAACCGATAAACATAGAACCTAATTTTTAGACTAATTGACGGAAAAGTGAAAAAATTTCATTCACGTGAAATATTTCTAAATTAGAAGTTTTAGTTTTAATGTTTACACCTGCTAATGAACCTTTTTTTTTTTTAAAGTCGGGGTTTCGCCGAAAAAAGTTCGATTGCTTAGAGTTCCGTGCCTGAAAAAAAAATTGAGCGCCGCTACGCTAAAGAATTTGTTTACATGTGAAGAAATGGGCAAGTATAATAAACTTTTCCTGTGCTAGTTGAATTTTTAAATTAAGCTTTAATTTTGATAACATTTGCTTATTTTTCAGGAATATCTGTTTAAAAAAATTTGCATTTTATGAATCATTAAACAATATTTGAATCATTAAACATTTGCACCAATGTTTCGCGAAACCAAGTTAGCGTTTTGATTGCTTATTTTTACAGCTTATTTGAAGATGTTGCGAGTTAGAAGAGTTATCTAATTGCGAACTGAGAAAATTTTACTTTCTAAACGTACTGGTAAGTGAGAAAGAAAGAGCTAGGTTGAAATTTTCATATTTCTACTTTTTTTCCCCCTCCTATACTGGGTAAACTTTTAGGTTCTTGTTTTAAACGAAATAAAACTTTCAACGGAAAGAAAATTTTTAAAATCTGGACAATTCGACAAATTTGTCAACTAAAGGAGACCTTTTGTCACGCGTAATTTAAAAATGAAATTCTTAAAGCTTGTCACAAAATAGGAAGAGTCTAAACAGACAAACTAAACTACAGTAAACTAAATGCTCACGATTGAACTTGATTGTGGCCTTCTTTGAGATCCTGATTTCTGAGGGGCCTAAGGGAGTAGCGAGCTTATATATATATCATTTTTTTTGGGGGGGGGGAGTTGATCGAATCATTAATATGTATATAAATACAATTCATTAGCTACAATAAATAAATTTATTTTTTGTTCACAATATTTTCAAAAATATTACATTTTTCCACTAATATATTTCTCATTCGCCGACTTTATACTAAACAATTCTAGTTAGTGAGCTGTGATTGTTCAGTGGGTAAGACAATTACGAAGAGCTGAGGTTCGATCCCGAGTGACGGCGTGAAGCCCTCTCAGTTCTAGATCGATGAGCACCAGTGTAATTTGTCCAGAAAGTGAAGGCTGACTGTGCGCAACAGCAATTGTAACATTGTGGAGCCCAAAGGCGCCGGCAGAATAATATGAAAGGGGGTGCAACCCTCTAACAAACTACTCTCCCCCCGAAAAAAAATTTAAATATTCTGATATTACATTTTGTTTTGTTATTACATATACTTTCATCTGTTCATTTTTTCAAGATACATTTCTTCATTGTTAGCAAGATATTTAAAAAAAAGTACGAATTTCTTGTACTTAAAAAATTTGCCCAGAGGCGCTGGCATAGCTACTGACTTTGAAGCACAAATAACTACAAACAGTAGTTTCGTATACTAACGTGTTTGTGCACGCTTAACATTGGTATTTATTGTGTTGATGAAGTTTTACAGTTGCGAGAAGTCGGCTTGTGTTATACACCTTTGTTAAACTGAATAACTAATAGAAAATATAATATTATTTACATTTTATTAAATGAAATTTAAAAATATAGCTTAGATATCTGCCAAGTTTGTGAATGCTCAGTGTGCATAAGAAAAGAATCAAAGATGACTCAGAATTCATTGAAAAAGTTCAAAACAGATTTGGGCAGCAAACAAGACGATTACAATTCTTGTTTGATTAAAAAAAATTTTAATTGTTATGTATCAATAATTACTTAATTATTTGTTTTTCCATAAAAATATGTTTAATAAAAAAAATTTATAACAAAATTTTTCTGTATCTCTTTAATTGTTTTTTAAAAAAAAGCCAGGGGGGTGCAAGTGCACCCCGCTGCCGGCGCCCTTGGTGGAGCCTGAGGCTATGATTTAACCGTCAAAGGTGTGGAGACAGAAAAGGAAAATTTTAATTCCTCTTTATTTAATATTCAAAAATAAACTGATAGTGGATATTTACATTATTCGTGCAGCATCTTTCGGAATATATAAAGTACAAAATCATTATTCTATCAAATTTTAAGTTATAAAAAGTGCAATATTTAAGATTATTTTGCATTTTTTTCTAATAAAATTATTCCAATAAATTCTGCAATCAGTATTTTTCTAACGATAATTAATTACATTCATCTGTTTGACGAGTTTTGTTACATATTTTTAATTTTTTTCAAATTTGCGTTGAAAATATTTTTAAGCATCATTCAAATCGTTTTTCATTATTAAACTGTAATAAAACGGTAAAAAATTTAAAAGCAGATAAATGTGTAGTTTTAAATGACTGATTTAAAACCATAAATAGCATCGTTTTACTGCTCAAAATTTTTGAAAAAAATTAATCTCTTAACTATCAAAGATTATTTCTCGTCATCTAATAAAACGATACCTTTGTTTTTAATATTTTCTGAGAAAAAGTATTGTGCTGCTAAATGATACCATATCATCAAAAGTTTGTTAGGACAAGAAAACTAAAATAAAAAATTTAACCTAAAATCGAGGGCTGAGGCCTCTTAATCTCCATGAACCGCTTGGCATACAAAGGGCTGTTGCGAAAAATTTTCACTTTTATTCTAGTTATTAAAAAAATAATAATAAATAATGAACCATTTGATAAATAAATAGAAAAAAAAGAAAGAAAATAATTCGCGGTAATGATGAAGGTATAATTTTTCATTATCCCACGAATCGAATAACAAATAATTTAGTAGCCGGCAAATCTTATTGAATAGTGAATGGAATAAAATAGATATTCTGAGAATCATGCTTTAAAATAATAAATTTTTACATGAGAAACTTGCTGAAATTTTTTAAAATATACTTGTTTGCTAAATTTGAGAAATGAGCAATAATTAAGTAGATCTATTTTCTATATCTATATGAATATAAACGTGACTATAAAGATTACGAAGCTGGAAAATTCATTATGTAATTGTATATTGTATTATGTTATTGTATATTGTTTATTATGTTATTAAAGTACTAGGACAAAAAATATACCTCCATTTTAAAAATTTAATATTTTATTAAAATTAGTAATTGTTATTAATGTTTCGTTTTCCTTCAAATAATAATAATAAAAGAAATTTAATAATTTTGAGGAAAAAAAAGCAAAGCTTGTTTGTCAAACATTTTTGCAATAAATAAATTACTATAAGATCCCTTTCTTCAATTCACCAATTTGATACTTCTGTATTCATTGGTAAAGAAATTAAATTTTCTTTCAAATTGTAAATTTAAATCATATAAGATTTGTTGCCTCATACGCTTAAAATATTATATTAGTGAAAGGCCCTTATCCAAATCAGATCAAACTTTATGATTTAAGAATTTTAATTTAATTTTGTCTTTATTTCAAAAAGGAAGATGAAAATCAGAAAGTGATGGGATTCTGTCGTTGATTGTCTTAAACACAGATTTAAAAACTTGATTACTGATGAACGATCCCAAAGTTCTAGTATTGCGGCACTATTCTAGCAATAAAACAATGTACTAACACCATCGTCTTCCGAGTGTCGAGACTGCAATGGGTGGGCGTCATCAGAGCAGAAAATATCGGAAAAAGAAAACAAAATTTTCTTTTCAGAAAAAATAAAAGGAAATGTGTAATTTGTTTGCCACCCCGATCCTCTGAGAGTCGGGATATTTTCGGTTGGATCCATCAGAAGGGCGGGAGATGCAAACAGAAATCGAGTCAACCGTCCGAACGGTAATTTATAATTCAGCGGCCTTTACCAACTTGTTCTCTTTTTTTGTGGAGATTTTCTTTGTGTCTGTATCAAATGGTCGTAGCAGTTATAATGCAAACTTTTTTTTCTTTAAAACATCGCTCCTAGAATGTGAAAATCGAAGAGTTTTGAGTAATGCTGTTTCTCATCTCCAGAAATGCTAGCATAAAAGAAGAATCTCAATTTTATACCAAGTGATTATCTGCTCGGCAATTTACTTTATCATTTTTACAACTATTGAGCGCAACCATAAACAATTACAAAAGCATCAAATACCATGCTTTTTGAGGGATTTGATGGGATCAAAAGTTTTCTGAAAGTTCCAGGTCTTAGGATAAAATTATATATTTCTCCGATTCCTGACTTTTTCTCGAGTCTTATTGTCTCTGACATTTCATTTTTATTTATATTTCTGGTGTGTACTACGAACTTTGTTGATAATCCCAGGAGAATCGATAGTTGATAATCACAGGCTTCCTACTCGCTATTGGAGATCGAAATGGGCTACAGGTGTGACCCGTGACCTTCCATCCAGGGGACAGAGGTCTCAAAAATTTGCAAAACATTGTCAAAATCAAAGTGATTTTAAATCTATTTTTTTACATCTCAAAAAGAATGTTTTATATTTAGCTTTATAGGAATGTAAAGTAAGTCTCGCAGTGGACTGATCGTTAAGACACGGTTCCCAGCAGATCACCGAAGTCAAGGGCGAGTGATGTTGCTTTTAGGCAACGGAGTTCCTGTGCACTGGGCACGCACCTCCGATCGAAAAAAAAGATAATGATAAATGAAAAGTAGGGGGTTTGTTAATCGAAAAAGTAAAAATGAAAAATGTAATAAAGAGAGGGTGGGGTGGGTCTATCTGGTATTTTCATCATGTGTCAATAGTCATGAGTCGGTCAATACAAAGATGACTTTTTTTTTGTTTCTTACCAAAAATACTAGTCCCGCAGTGGACTGATCGTAAAGACACTGTTCCCAGTGGAGCACTGAAGTCGAGCATCACTGGCTGCGGTCAGAATGCGGGTGGGTGACCACTTGGATCAGTCTGCGTAGGGACTGAGGGTGTGCGGTATTGGTTCTCGTTAAACTGTTCTACCATAAAGTGCTCGACTTCGCGTGCAGGTCGTCGGGCTGCTGACCATTATTATTATTGCGACGCAAATTAACTACAACAACAACAAGGAATGTAAACTTCATTTGAGAAAAAATAGCCTTCAACTGCCTGTTTTCAAATTTTCTCAGATTCTTTCTACTAAACAAAAAAAAGTTCGTACGCACTCGTAAGACAAATTACTAGCACATGCGCGAAACACATATCCGTATGATTGCATAAATGAATCGCATACAGTGCGTGAGTAATCGCCTATCTAACAGCCCATAGATTACATATGCTATGCAGAGAAAATAATAAAAGCTGGTTATCTGATCAATTTTCGAAGTTTGTTTTTCAGTGGTTCAAAATCAGAAAAGTGGTTATCAGATAAGTTGCGCATGGTTGGAGAGTGTGGTGCGGAGAACATTTGAATTATTGACTAATTTTCTAAAATTGTGGAAGCGTAGTGCATATAAGCGTGAGTTATACTTTTACAAAGGTCTATAAAGTGATATAAGGCATTCAATCAAAAAAACTTTTTTTTCTCTCTTTTGAACATTTATGAGGCTGTTTCGCTAGTAAACTTAAATTAATTTTTTTAATAGAATAATAAGTATAACTTCAACTTTCAATGAGTTCCTTTCCTTTTGAAATCACGTGATATGTATGACGTATTCGGGAGTCGGACACATGAGAAGCCGCCATTGTTAACTTTTTTAGAGTGCGTGGACATTCATTTTTTATTATAGTATTTGTGTTTGTTAACCATAATCGAAGTTAAAGGACTGCTGTCTAACCTCTTCAGTAGTGATAGGAATTTTTATTTGTGTATAGCTTCAACGATCGAAAAAATTTTCTGTTCCATTGGGGAATGTCTGCTAGCGTTGATCAGGTACTACAAATCCGGAATTTCAAGATGGCTTCAATCAGCCCATTTATCTTATAAGTTTATGTGGAATTCGTTATGCGTTATTGCTTTATATACACCTGTTTCTGATATTTTGAGATTTGTTGTTTCTAAATTATTTATAAGTGTGCTAAACGATATTAGTTTCTAATTTCTTTTTATTTATTTTCATAATCGACATGCAGCGCATGAAAGGACAAGGCAATTCGGGTAAGTAGTATTTGTTCTTAATTTGTTTATTGGTGTAATCATCCTTAATATTCTTGCATTGACTAATTATAGATTATGCAGAGAGTATTATTTTATTTAAAACTTATATTTAAATTCCTTGTTTCCCAAACAGATTGTGATTCACTAGTACACTGATTCACTTGTTTATCCATCTGTCATAATTTCTATTTGATTTACGTTATGTCTTTTGATTAGTGCGTAATAAGCATGAAATCTGATATGAAAGAACAAATTGCTAAAATGTAACCTAGCGTTTTGATTTGTTTCTACTATTAACTTATTTGTTGCAATCTGTTTAGAAATCTATCTTGCCATTTCATTGTAATAAGGTTTGATTTATACTTTGTAAAATCAATATTCAATGTGGTTAACATTTGAAATTAAGTAACTTATAAGTAATGCAGCTTTAAATATTGGATAAGTCGAGTTATAATGAATTATGATTATTCTTTTATGAATCATTAAATGTATTTTTTATTTAAGGTTAGGAATGAGATATTTTGGTTTTATTAATAAGATTTTTTTTAATTGTTTTTAATTGATTCTCTGTTATGTATTATGATAGATTATATTACATTTAGGAACTGCAATTATTTTAGTGTACATTTTCTTGTATGAATTAGTTCGTTTTTTTAGAAATCATTGCTTGTTTTGCAATGATGCTGCATCTTAAAGCTTTTAGCTAAACCTAAAGGCATGACTCTTATTATTGGTGTGTTTAAGCTGTGGAGGTATGTGTATATATACAAATGCACTTTAAAATTAAATTCTTAAATATTATCCACAATTTAAAAGAAGTTAAAGATACTTTAAAAATTCTTCACTGTCTTGCAGATTAAAAGAACACTGAAAATATATCCCTAAATTACCAAATTATTTTTAAATCATGATGTATTTACTTATAGATGCGTGCACAATTGGTAGCTCATCTGCTTTTGATGAATCTTAAATTTTTGTTTGAATTTGTCATTCAAGCTTTTTGACATGCGCCATCTGAATCAATACAGTTTTAAAATTGCTTTTTTCCTTAGTAATCATTACAAATTTCTTAAGTTTTAAAAATCTTAATATTTTTAATACTACATAATTACCATGTATAAAATTTGAGTTTTAGTAATTACTTTTTGAGTTTTTTTTTTTGTCTTCATGTTGTCATTAATCTAAGTGATTTTTCTTATCGACTTAATGTTATATTTTATTAAATTGTGTTATTTTTGATAAAATATTATGATTCGAAAGTTTCAATTCCATGCATTCTGGTAGTAATTTTAATAGTCTGTGCTTTATTTTTCTCAATTTGATGTAAATCTTAGTTACTTTATTGATTGCTTTTTGGTATTTTGACATGGATTTGAATATCCCGTTATTTTTTATGCATATTAATATAACTTTTGTGTGTTTTATTTTTCCGATTTCATTGCAAATCTAAGAAATAATTTGTCGACATGGTTTTGAAAATCCTCTCATTTTTAATCTGATATTATTAAGAGTTGCGAGTTTCAATTAGCACACTTCAATCATTACTTTTAATGTGATTAAGTTGTGCTAGTTTTAAAGCCAAACCAAATTATTTGTTTTTGCAGTTGCTGCTACTTTTTTTCGCATATTTTTTAAAAACTATGTTTTTAATGTAATATTAATCCAACACTCGCAAAGATTTCCATATCCTGATCAGCGACAGAATATTCACCAAATCTTAGCGAATTCCAAACAAAGACGCTTGAGAGGATTGGAAGGAGAAAAAAAAATCTCAGAAGGAGACTAATTCAAATTCGTAGCCCCCTCCCTCTTGGACAAACTTCCACATATTTTTTATTTATTTTTTAAAAAAAAAAGATTGCCAAATTGAAATCCATTTGTCACTTTGGTATACGAAAATATCTCCTTACACTTACAATTCAAACGTGGGTTTTTAAACTGTTAACTATTTTAAGTAGTTTATAATTTTTTGCAGTTTAAAGTGCCTAAAAATTCGGATAAGGCTTAACTTTCTATAAACTCTTATAATTCACTGAAAATCAATATCCTAAAGTGAAAAATATACTGAACCGAATGATTATTCTTAATCTGAGCTATAAGGCATTTTTTAAATTTTATGTTACGTCATTTTAGGCCCCATAGAATTTCTTAAGTTGAAATATTTAATTTGCATTTATATTGCTTACTGAAATAATTATTTTTTACTATTATTCATGAATTTAATTTATTTTAAAATAAGTTTAGTGTTATCCCTTAGCATTTTTTGAAGAGTTGCTTGACTTTTGATCGAAGACAATGCGCCCCTGTGTTAAGCCGTCATCCCGTAAAACATTGCCTTTTTTTTATTGCGAGGGAGAACTCATAAACTTTTGTGTTACATGATATGATAAAAAAAAAATTTTACTTTTTCCTCATCATTATAATTTTTTTGAAACTTTTTTTTGATAAGGAGAAAATAATTTTTTTTTTTTTTAAAGTTCTGTTTGGTATTCTGGTTATTGTCTGTTTTGGATATAACTTTATATTTAAAAGAATTTAATTTTATGTAAATATGTTACTAAGGTGATTTTTAAAAATAATTTAGTTTAAAACGCAGTTAACATTGAAACTATCATAATTGCCCTCAACAGGTCAAAATTCTTGGGATTACGACTCTTAATTGGTCAATCTGCTGTTTGAAGAGCTATTTATTCAAAAAGGTTTTGCACCCTTACTTCAAAGTTCTGAAACTTTTTTTTTTGAAGTGGGGCAGGATAGTGATCTACACTTGTAAAATTCCAGAAAAATTTTCTTAATCTGTAATTTTAAGAAGTGTAAATATAATTTCTTATAATTGAAATGCACTTTAATTTAATTGAAAAATTTTCTATTTATTTCCTTTCGTATATTGCCTAGATCCTAGCCTGCCTTGAATTCAGCTTCAAATTATCACTGATATTTTTCCGCTGTGAAATTGCGTTGTATTATCAAACTCCATAGTTTATCTATTCAGTTCCTTCTTATCATATTTTTTCAATGATAAGATAAAGTGTAATTGTATAGCATTTCGGTTACTTTGTTTTCGAGAACTTGTTGACTCTTTTCATTAGTTTTACAATTAATATTTTTATTTTACATGTGAGCATTCTTTTCAGTTTTACTCAACTTTGATTTTCTTTATCTTGGAAAGTACTTAGAGCTTAAATTTTTATTACGTCATACTCTCTAACATTTGAGTTTTTAGCTAATTTCACTTTCCTCTGGTAGCAAATAAGGACAGAAAATTTTCAAGCATATAATTTTTATACAACTTACATCAGAAATTTGTTGCATTACAAATTAATTCACTAATTTATAAGCCTCCTTATATTTACAGGGTGCATAGCATTTTTAAAAAGTGCTTAAAGGTGCTTATTTTCATCTTTTAAAAACACTTAAAAGTGCTTTTTTCATTGGGTGTTTTTAAAAAATGCTTACTTTTCCCTTTTACAAATTGAAATTTTTCCTTTACCTTGTTGACTTTCGCTATGAATTATGCAGAAAGACACTGTTCACATTGTTCTATTCAACATTTTCACAATTAATTCAACCCCAATCTATTTTGGCACATTGTCAGACCGTAGCTTATGAAAACACCATTCGATTTACTTGATTCAAAAATTTTGACAATTGTTAAAAACAATGCAAAAAAATTTTTTTTTGGTTGACGTAACCAGATAAAACCGTCAATTGTCAAAGCTTACCAACCTTGCTTAAATATGATATTCTTTTAAAGTGCTTAAAAAATATTTGAGTGCCTGAAAAGCGCTTAAAAGGTGCTTATTTTTTGTTGAATAATTTGGCAACGCACCCTGATTTATGTATAGTGGTAGACAAAATTCTCTTAATTTATTAAAATATTAGCATGTTGATTGCTACTTTAGGAAATAAAATTTTCTGAAAATTGCTCAGTTGTTGCAGATTATGTGAAGTTATTTGTTCTATTAGTTATGAATAGCCAAATTCTACTTATAGTAGAAAAGTCTTGTTTGAATAAATTGAAATTTTATTGTAATTTGTTTTAATGTGTGTGTGTAAATTTATTTTACAGTTGCAAATGGACCTAAAGATATGGTAAAGGATGAAGAATTTGAATCTTGGAGAAACCAACCTCATCAGGTATGAATTCAAAATTTAATTCTTTTTCTTTCATCATTTCTTTTGTTTTGTTAAACCTATTTTGTTATGTAGCTTGAATAGTTGTTTTATTGGATAAGTGTTTTAAGTTGGTTATGTTTTTTAATGAATAAAATAACTGATATTGAAGTTTTTACTTAGTAAAAGCTTGATATAATTAAAATGCTTAGCAGCTAAGTTATTTTCTCGAGCTCCTCATGATCGGCAGTAAATAAGCCTTTATGCTGAAAATTGCTACTAAGATATTAAATAGGAGTTTTTTTTTTCTTTCTAATTTGTGTTCTAAATTTTTAATCTTTTTATTGTATGTTTATTTGTAGAGCAGATATGCTTGGAGAATTGTATTATTGTGAAAGTCTAATTTTGAATTTGAATGATTCACTGAATTTGTGATGATTTTGTGGTAAATCCAGTAATGATTCAAATGCTCAGCTATTTTGCCAAATTGCTGTTATTGTAATTTTCAAACATCATTCTTTTCTGATTCTGATAATTTTCTTGCCTTATTATGACATGCAAGATTTGAACAGGACTTTTTAATCTTCACTTTTTAATATGTATGTTCCGTCTTTTTTAATTTTTTAAAAAAAATCTCTTTTGTGACAGTTTTTGCTACCAATTTCTGCTAAGTTTTTAAAAACCTCATAATTTTAACACTATATTACTTATTACAGCACATAATTCTCTGATAATGCATTTAAGTGATCACTTTTGGACACCTCAATTTTTCGTGATTTTGTCTTAAATTCATGTGCAATATCTTATGCCATGCTAACTTTCTGTTTTAAAAGAGAACAAATATTTTCTGTTACTTTATAAGTGCATCTAACTTTCAATAACAAGTCAATTTCTTTATTATCTTAATTTCAGTAAGCTTATGAGTGGAACCTAAATTTAATTTTATAAATCAGTAGCATTTCTGTATAACTTGCTTTTAAATAGATTTAACACCTATGCTAGTTAATTCAAGAATTACGTAAAATCAAATAAATATTTTTTCTTTCTTGGAGATATTTTTATTTTTATCAAAAAGCATTTTAATAATATACAGTAATATTTTGAAATAGTTTTAGCAGTTACGAAAAAAAATTTAACACAAAAATACTGTATTTTTGAGAAATATTAGACTTAGTCAATTTTCTGCGTCCTTGCTATGGACCAATCTCAATTTTTATTTTTATTTAATTTTTCCATTAACATGTTGCACCCACTGGTATACAAAACCTAGGGGGGAAAATCACATGGCACTGTTAAAATATGCCTTTTTTAATTTAACAAGTTTTTTAGATATGACGTATAGATAACTAGGCAAAAATGGCATTTTGAACAGTTATATCACACCTATACTCCTTAAAATGCATTTGAGAAATTTGTTATGTATTTAAAATTTTTTTTTCTTTTATAAAAATCTCACTGAGGAATTTCGATTTTGAGCTCAATTTTTCCAATATGAGATTTTGAGATTGTATTTGTGTGTATTCATTTCTTAATGTTCTATAGTTCATCATATTTCTTACCCAATGATGATTAAAATATTTTTTTATGGCCAACAAATGTTGATAAAGTAATAATGTAAGAAGATATAATTATTTTTCTTGAACCCCTTTCAGGAAATATTAGGTTTTTCATTGCACAGCTCTTATTTGATTTGTCCTTTGATGACTTCAATTATCTATTAATAATTTTAGAATACTATGTTTTTAATAAAATTCAATAAATAATTAGTGCAGTAAGAATGATTAATTTTTATTACTATTGAAGACGTTTACTCTTTTAATTTATTATTAATCTTTAGCATTTAAAATCAAAATTGTTTTTGTAAAGAAAAATAAGCATTGTAATTACTGCTCATAATAACATTTAATGAATATTAGATGTAAAATATATTTAATGTGAAATATTTCTTTAATATTGTTTCTGATTATATTTTTGCTACATGGTCCAATGCACCCTATCAGTTCGTTGGTCTTCTGTTCAATGTGTGTTATTTTTTTAATTAATATAAAATAAAATTTTTCTTTAGAACATTTTTGAAAAAGTCACGAATGGTGAATGTAGGCAATTTTTCCTGTACAAAAATAAATTTAGTTTTATGGGTAAATTTTTGGTGAGATAAAAACTTAAACACGGACTAAAAAATTTTTGGTTACAATAATTATAGTAAAATGTTAATTATATATTATTTATACTTCAGGATGTATTTTTTTGCACCTTTAATTAGTCTCTAATTTCCTAGTGTGCAATTGCACAAGTTTTTAAAAAAAAAAACTTTCACAATGTTGATAAGGGACAGTGTCTAATCGATCAAAATGTAACGTTAACTAAATTGAATTTTTAAAAAAGAAGAAAAAATGACGTCTTAAATATTATTGAAACTGTTTAGATTGAATTCTTACAGCAGTGTCAAAAATCTTATCTCTGACGACTACCATTGTCTTATTTTTTGTCAACTGGAAATGAAAGGTGGCATCTCGTGAAGACACCATGCCTTCTGATGTTACCCAATTCCCTAAATATGTTAGTAGGGTAAAAGCTTTTAAAGCTGATACTTGTTAGAGAATTTAAATAAGTTAACATCTTGCCTGCTAAAGAATTTAAATAGGTAATACTACAAGATAATGAAATGAGCATCATTTAAAAATAGAAGTTAATTTCATAGAAGTTTTAATTAATTTAATGTCATAGAATTTCGTAAGTTTTAATTAAATTTATTTTCATAAGTTTTATTGAACTTTCATTTTTTTAAATTTATTGAAAAAAGATTGTGATCGGGACATTTTTCATGTATCCTTTATGTATTGTAATTGTTAATAAAATCTAATAAAGAAATTATTAATGTTAATTATACAGTAAGGAACCTATTATCCGAAACGATCGGGACCATCGCTATTCCGGATAACTGATTTTTCCGGTTTTCTGAATCGCTACAAAATGCCTTTTTTTGTATTGTTAAACCCAACTAATAATAATAAAAAAAAAAAATTTGGAAATAATCTTAAAAAGAAGAAAAAACGATGAAGTAATACACCAATGATTATTTCCAAAATGATGGTAAGGTAAACATCTTTCAAAAAAGAAAGAAAAAACCTAAAATCTTATAAGGAAATTTTTTTTTTTAAATTGGCGGGAAAATTTATCGAGTTTTGTTCCGGTTTTTTGGTTTTCCGGTTTTCTGATTTCCGGATAACAGGTTCTGTACTGTATATAGTAAAAATTGTAGTTAACATTTATGTTAATGTATCATCTGTTAGCTAATGTATCTTTCTGTTTCTTTTATTGGTTATAAAAAATCCTTATTTTCCTATTTGTAAAATATTTTATGTATCAACTAGTAGTTAGCATTTTCCTTAAATCAACCTGTTTTTTTTACCCCTTTCTGATTGATAGACTTGTATAATTATAGTAGAGCACCGATTATTTAGACAGGTTAAATCTGAGGAATTTTCCGACTCGTCAATAATCTAGGTGGTTAAATTTTTTTTTCTTCTAATAAATGGTCATTTTTAATTTCTTTAAAATTTAAGCTTTTTTTTAGCAATTTTTTAGCACTTAAAAAAAAGTGATCCAATACAGTTGATGTTTGAATGCTATGCTTTTATTTTTGCCTTTTTTGCTCTTCAATTAAATGTTTTTTTTAAAGGTAATATGACATGATTCTTGCACCTTATAAACATGTTGGAAAACTTACTAATTAAAAGATACTACACCCACAATACTAATTAAGAGAAAGTGTGTACCATTGTTAGCATTATTTAAATCACTGGATTAAAATCCTGATGTAAACCACATAAATTTTTTTTTAAAAATGTAAAATCACTCATTTATCATTTATTTTCAAATTAAAATTTTCCAATCATTGACAATTTTTTTTGTTGATATTAATAAAATATTTTTGTTCAATCTAATTAATAAATGCATTCATCATTTCATTAAAAACATTAATTTGAGCAAGCAGTGATTTTTTTTTAATATAAAATTTTTTAAGTGAACTGATATTTTTTAAAAATTCTTAACTTAAATATAATATTTTTTTATACAATATGATTAAAAAAAAATTTAACGTGATTTTTATTAATCAAGAAGGTTTCAAAAAGATCTATTTTATTAGGAAGATTTCATACTAAGAAATAATGAAAAGTGTGCATGTAAATTATTGTATTTCAAAATAGGCAAAAAAAATAAAAAGAGAATAAAAGTGGCTTGAAACTTATAAATCATAATATCAGTGTTCTCCCTATTCATTTTTAGAGGGGCGACTCGCCCTGCCTGCCCTTTGATCCCCATAAATGTGCCCTTTTTATGCTGCCACCTCTTGAAAACACTGCCTTTTAATTTATTAAATATGTAGCTTGTGTATATCAAGACTTGTTCTACACGGACTAGGTTAAAATGATTTTTTCCCCTTCAGTTTTGTTAGTTTTTTTCAGTTTAGTAATGTTTTTTCCATTAGTTACTCTTTATTAGATTACATGACAAAATGTCTTCTAATCTTTACATTAGCAAGTTGAGCTTGGAAAGCATAACTATGATTTTTATCTATTCAATGATTATTTTTAAATAATTAAGTAATTTTAACCATATATTTTATCAAATGTTTTGGCTGATAATTGTAAAAAATCAAAAAATATGTCTTCTTTCTTCCTCATTATTGGAAAATAAATTTTTTTCTCTGCTTTTGACCCTTATTATAATTAAGCAAAATAAGGGAAAGCAGTAAAGGGTCCATCCTATTAATTGCACTAAAGAATTTATAAAAAAAAAATTCATGCACTTGTGAGATTCTAAAGATAAGAACTAATTTTCATAAAAGGACAAGTGGAGGCAGGAGAGAACCCTTGTCCCTTGATTTATCCAATTCGTTAGACAATTTCATGGCTCACACATGTCAAGGAGAACAAGGAAAAACTGGAATTCTCAGGAAATTTTATTCTGAGAATTGTCAGTAACAGTAATCAGTTATTGAGATAAGAGTTAATTATAACATTGATTACAATTATTTTATAAAATTGCACTCTTTATAGAAAAAAACTTTCCCATGTTTCCATTCTCAGTTTATTATATGTCTTTTGCTCACAAAATCTAGTATTTGACATTCCAAATGAAAAAAATTGTAGCTTTCTGATAAAAAATTGCATGGTGAAATTCACCTGATGCACTCGAAAAAGTCAAGGAATTATTTTATTTATATTTTTATTTACTGAAATTGAGTGGGAACTCTACTATTTGGTTAATTGGGATCTAAATATATAATGCTCTACTATAGTTAATGATTATATTAAATAATAGCTTTTTTGACTGGAAATTGAAAGTGGCATCTTGTGAAGACTAACTTGATGCCTCTTAATGGAGTTCATCCTTTAATTTCCTAAATAAAGGTTAAGTAGGATTCTCTGGGTGAGATGCTCTTTTAAGGACTCTCTCCTCGTTCTATTCTACACAATTATTACTTATATCCTTAAATATCTAAAATACATTCTATTACAACCCTTTTGATAGTGCTTATTTTTTATATTTTGAATATATTGTTATATTGTTTCTTGTTTTTCAATAATATTAATTGTTCTTTTTAAGTCTAGCTTAAAATGCATGCTCTCTCTCTACTAAGTAATTTATATTTTTGAACAATTTTGTATAAAATTTGAATCATTAATTGATGCCAACTATGCCTCGGCAACTAATTATGGGCCTTTCTTAGAAAAAGTAAAAATTTATGTAAAATACTTGTAAAATAAATCATAAAAAATACATAAAATGTTTTTCTAAGCCTGTTTAGAGGAGTGATTTGATATAGGTGGACAGTCACACCTGACTGATTTCAAGCTTTCCAGCTTCTCAATTAATAATTAAAAAAAAAAAAAAAATTTCTCAATAAATATTGTTTTTAAATAAGAATATAATTTTTAATTCCTGTACTGAGACTAATATGTCACATTTGTGGACGGAAACAAATAAAAACAGATTAATCTAAATGTGTCAATTCAGGCATATTTTTTTTAAATGGCTATTTTGTCAAAAAGCTACAAAGAAATAAGTGCGTTTTGTTTTGTGATCTTTACTTTGAAGTGTTTTTTGTTTGTGTAACGATCAAAATGTCATTTCTATTAACATCATAAATTTCAAATAGTTAGGTAAGCTAATTTAGATACAGTACATTCAGAGTTTTTATTATTAAGGAATTGTTTACCAATTTGCATATTTTAGTTTTAAATGTGTCAGTGTCTTAAATAAAGTAATCCATGTTTTTATGTCTTTGGTCATATGTCTATATATGTAACAAAGTGTTTAAACTCTGATGACATACAAAAGATTAACAGAAATAGCCAATTTGGGTATGATTTAAATGACATAACTACTCAAATTTTTAAAAAATATAAAAAATAAATTTTTGTTTTATAAACTTGTTGCACATAATGATAGAATCTAGGGATTTTAATTTTGACCACAGACCGACTAGTTTATATTTATCAACTACTCCTCTGTGCCTGCTGACGATACATATCTTTCCCAAATCGCAAGACTATTCGAAACTCATCTGCATCTCTGTGTCTGTGAAGATACAAGTGTAATTTTCTAATTCCCATAAGTAAAATTTATCTTCATACTTCCCAAATAATTAATTGTTAATCTATTTGAAGACTTTTTACTGAATAAAAATAAATGTATCCCTCTAACAAATTCTAAACACTTACTAGTAGGGAATGTAGTAATGCCTCCTTGAAGATAAACCTTCCACAATGTACAGAAGAAAAAAAAAAAAGAAAGCAGCAATGCATTACCTGTAAACCTGGAGGCCCTATGTTCAACATTCAAAATTGATCATATGTCAAATGTCTGAATTCTTGTTTCATTTTTATGAACACCTCAGTGAGGAGATTTCTGTTCTCTCTTTCATTTTTTTTTTTTTTTTTTGACACAGCTGTGTTAAATTCAGTCACCAAATTAGAAGTAGGGAGGAATTTTCAGTGGGTAAGAGGAATTGAGAGTATATAAGGTGTCATATCAGATTGTGGGGTCTCATAACCAGTATTGTCCTGATGAAAGGATCGAAAGATTCCACTGTTTGGAACATTTTCTCTCTCCTTTCTTTGGAAAGATGACGGTGACAGGTGAATGATTGATACATTAGTGTTGAAACAACTTCATATTTTTAGTTGTGGATAAGGCAAAAGAATTAATTTAAAGCAGAAGCCTTAGAATTTAAAACAGAAATAGTTTTCTTTTTCATATTTTTAAAAATTGGAAGGAGAATAACGTATGAGGGCATAAATGACTGTCCAATTACTGTAGTGTCCGCTTTGCAGAGAAGGTATAAAATCGTTTATTCATCGAATATTTACAGGGCCTACCTTGTGATAGCCTAGTACAAGCTAGAGCTGTCCCAACTAGAGCTGGCACGATCAGACACAAGGTTTCTCTATTTATTGATTCTCATGGTTTTAAGATCTTTTTCCACAGAATCAGTCCATGTGATGCATAGTCTCTCCCTTCTTCAGTTGCCTGTAAACTTTTAAAAAGTTAACTTTATATATGTTTATCCAAAAAAGCTATAAAAGATTTTATCTAAATTTTAAGTACTAAGAGCCTTTCTATGCTTCCAAAGACTACTAAGAGCATTTTTATGTTTCCAAAAATACAGTTATGGTTTTACTTTTATAAGTTAAGTCCTATGGGAATAGCTTACTATAAAAAGATGCTGTATAGATATTGTTTTTATTTATGTAATTAGCAGAAATGTTTTTATTTTATTATATAATTGTATGTAATTCAATCATTATTTGATTTCTTCTTCACAGTTTTTGATTATTGTATTTATATAAGTGGTCATATTTTTGTTTACTCGATATATAATGGAGAATTTCTTTTTTAGACTTACAATCCACCCATGTCATCCTCTAACTTGCCAGATCCTTACATGCCTAGTTACTATGCATCTATGTCATATTCTTTTGTAAATCAAGGACTAGGAGATGGAGCCTGGAGTAATGGAGGTGATCCTATGACATTTCTCAGTGGATATGGAGGGCAAATGGGAAGTGGAGACCAGTCCCATTACATGGATGGAATGTTCTCACAAAATACCTTTAGTGGCTATAATCAGAGCTTCAATTATTTCCCTAGTGGTGGCGGTGGTGGTGACTATTCAACATGGGGCAACTCTGCCATGGGCACGAGGAAGACTGGTCATGGAACCTATCCTGAAGATTATTATAGAGATACATATGACCAGACTCTGGATAGGAACGCTTTGAAACATATAGAACAGGGTATGGGTGGACTGTCTATTCCTGATCATAAAAATGATTCTCAGTTTGTTAAAGACCCATATGGTAAACCTGGTATGTTACATGGCAGTATAATGACAGACCATCAAATGGGAAAGAAATTTGGAACTGGTGCAACTGATAATATGGTTATGACTGGCACACCTGGTGTTTCTGGACAGCCTGTTGGTTCTAAAAAAATAACATGGGCTTCTGTGGCAAGCCAGCCTGCTAAGCCTCAAGCTAAAGTAAAACCTAAACCTGTTAATCCTACTGCTATCCTAGCTAGCGGTAATAAGCATAATACATCTAGTATGGATATTGGAACTTGGGAAAGTAAAAATGGCAGTGGTGGGGGAAATGGAACTGGTGGTGGCAAAATGGGTCCGCCTACTGCATTACAATCTCGTTCGACTTCTAATTGGAATGCACCTCGGGGAAATAGAAGTAATGGACCCTCTGGACCTGGATATAATTCACCACCTCAACAGCAGCAGCAACAACAACCAATTGCTGTTGCTCAGAACAATGCATCTGGAGACAATTATCCCCAGCATCCTGTGTTAGATAAATTAAGAATGGAAAACAATTATAATCCTAAAGAATTTGATTTAAATCCTAAGAATGTTAGATTTTTTATAATTAAGTCCTATTCCGAAGATGACATTCATCGGTCAATTAAATACTCTATTTGGTGTTCTACAGAACATGGAAATAAACGGCTGGACCAAGCTTTCCGAGAAGCCAAAGGACTGGTGTATTTGTTCTATAGTGTGAATGGATCAGGGCATTTTTGCGGCATGGCACAGATGGTGTCGCCCGTGGATTATGGTAGTACTGCAAATGTCTGGGCTCAGGACAAGTGGAAAGGGCAATTTAAAGTGAAATGGATATATGTGAAGGACGTTCCAAATTCTCAGTTGCGTCATATTCGTCTTGAGAACAATGAAAATAAGCCTGTCACTAATTCTAGAGACACACAAGAAGTGCCTCCTGAAAAAGGCAAACAAGTATTGAAAATAATGCATACTTTTCGACATACTACTTCAATATTTGATGATTTTTTGCATTATGAAAAACGTCAAGAAGAAGATGAACAACGTAAAACACAGGTATGGTTCTTTACATTTCTTATTAAATTTGTTTTAATTGGTTCTTTGTCTTTGTTTTGTGTTATGTTTGTAGATAATATGAATAAATATGTATTGAAGCTCTTGTTAATTGACATGACACCATTTTGTTCCCATATTAATCATATTTAGTAAGCTTGTATAAACTGGAAAGAGCACTTTAGGCCTTGACAATCTATTGGCTGTTGCACCACTAAGTTTATCTTAATAAGTAAAAGTGAATTGTGCAATTGCTTGTTACGATATAATCCAACAGTAATCATTACAATATTTTACATTCATTTTGTTTTTATATTTTTACAACTGCATCTCAATTTATTTAACTAAAATGAAAAATTATAAATTTATTAAATACTAAGTATCTTTCTTTGTCTTTAATTTAAGCTTTTTAAGTGTCCTTAAAAGCTGCAAATAGAGAGTACAATTAAATATAAAACATGTTTAATTTTCATTTTCATAATAAATTGTTAAAGTATGTTGGCTTTATGTTCATTTACAAAATATGCAGTTATAATTTTTATATTTTATACAGGTTTATATATAAGATCATGAAATGTTCAATATTTTTAAGAAAAATAAAAGTATTGTTGAAAATGTGAATGTTTATGTACATTAAGCTGATGTATGTTTAATTTGCATTACATATAAAATGTCAATTTCCAGTTTTATTTATCACTATATCCCGGATTTATTGTCATTATGGATTGCATGATTTATATATTTTCTTTCAATTTGAATTTTGTCTTAGAAAAGCATTAAATACTACTCATATTATCTAAGTAAATATGCAAGTTAGAGTATAACAATTACTATTGGTCTGTCTCTCTAGTTTTGATAATTGAAAGATGTTGAGCCTTGATTGCTTAAAGGATATGTTCGCCTTCCAATGAGGTGAACCAGGTTCAAATTCCTGCGGTGGATGGTCGATTTTTATTGAGTTGTGGCCGCTCCTTAAACCCAATTATTTTTCCGTATCATATATTTTATTCTATGAAGGTTGAAGTTATTAATTTCAAATGTATGCACTAAAAAGTTTTGACATGATCATGATACAACATTTGTTATCAATAATTTTGTTATAATAGGATTTATATAAAGATTTTATGTTGCACTATTAGCCATTGAAATAGCTGTTGCAGTACTCTTTTAAAGAAAATCCAATGATATATGCTTTTTGCTTATTTTTTGAGAGCAAAAAAAGGCAGGTTTTGGTGTTCTGTTCTTTAATTGTTTCCTGAATTTCTTGTTTGTTTCCTGAATTTCTTGTTTGTTTCCTAAAACTTTTGAGCCATAAAAAATCTTTTTTTTCTTTTTTTTAAATTTCCTAAACAAATTTTCAACATTCATGAATAAATAAAATATGATAGTTTGCATGTTCCTTTTTATTTTGCAGTAAGGATTAAAAGTCCTCCCACCATGTGTTAACGAATAAATATTAATTACAAGTTCTGAATTAAAATAATATTTGAACTTTTGTAACAAAATTTTTTTACATAGTTGATGTTATTCATTTTTAACAACTTTCAATTCATTTTAAAGCTGAATTTCCTTTTGAAATATAAATTTTTAAAAATTCTCAATTTGCTGCCTCTTTGCAAACTAAGCTCTTTACTTTTAAAGTTAAATTTATAAAATAAAACTTTAATTGACTACTTTTATACTTAGACTAAGAGAAATCTTAAAAAGTAATTTGACTTAAATTTTTTTAATGAATAATAAAGACTCAAATGTCCCCTCCACAGCATTTCACTTACTGTAAATCCTTTCTGCAATTTGTAGACAAATTTTTGAAAATTAGTTGTCAATCAAAATGTAATTGGAGTATGTGGCACAGTGTTTTTTTATCGTTAAATAATGCTAATTAACATTAAAAACTATGCAAAGGACATGCAACTAGTATAAGAGCAGAAATTCCATATGAAATACAGATTTTTTAAAATGCTCAATTTTACTAAAAACTATGCAAAGGACATGCAACTAGTATAAGAGCAGAAATTCCATATGAAATACAGATTTTTTAAAATGCTCAATTTTACTGTCTTCTCCGCAACAATATTTTAAATTGACTGCTATTCTATACTGATTTTACTATGAAGAACCTGGAAGAAATTTTAAAAATCAATTGTTCTTTTTGAATTTTTTTAAAATAATAATTTTGCCCAAAATGTCATTTCCGCAACAGTATACTTGCCATTGCATTGCCCTATCCTATAGTTCAGTTTTAAATTTTCTGTTATTATCTGTAATTAATCTGTAGCCAATCTAGATTATTTTAAATCCTTTAATGACACCATGTAGATTTTGTTAACTATTTATGTAAATTTGAATTATTGTAGAATGTGAAATTATTGTAAACCACAATTCAGTGCTTTTGTTGTTCCACAGTGGAACACTTAGGCATTTAAAACCAGTGATTACTTGTTTCGTGTTTAAAAAAGGTTATTTAAGTTTTAGCCATTAAATTTCTCCTTTTTTCTTAAAAAAAAAAGAAAATTTTTTTTTGTTGCTTTCAGATTTTGTTTAAAAGTAAAATTGGATTTTTCATTTGTTATTCAATTTGTATCAGTGTTTTTAAATATAAATCCAGCAAATTTCAGTGAATTAGATAATGAAATAATTATTAATTGATCTTTACAAGATCAAAATAAGTAAATTGAACTACATAGAATATTTTTATTTATTTCTAAGATTTTTCAATGTTTTTTTTTTTTTTTTTTTTTTTTTTAAATTTCATAATAAAAAAAATGTCTAAAGCACAAATTAAATATTTAAGATACCTCACATTTTACAAGTACCAGCTCTGATATTATAGTACTGCTGAAATGAGAGGTCTATTTTTCTTCTAATTTTATTTCTGTTTTGTACATTGCTTTGCTTTCTAATTTATTATAAATTTAAAACCGCAAACTTAATCAAGTATATATATGAAATTTTTAAAATGTTTAACAAATGTGTTAATTATATATTTCTCATTTGGTAAATAATTAAACAATAATGTTTAAGTAAAAATGTAGTTTTAAAACTATTTCATTTTCTTATTTTTAGAAAAACATGTATTCCTTATCACTACAATTATAATTAATTCAGAAGATGTTTATTCAGTGCTGTAATGACTTAGCAAAAAAATTAGATAAACAAATTGAAGTTTGCACTGTCTTTCATGAAACTTTGCCTAACACCTTATATCATCTGCTTAATTTTCTTAACATTAATTTTAATATAGCACTCAAATTGTTTTTGGATTATTATTGCAAAATTTTTCAAAGTGTTATAAGTATATTTGTTACTAATTATCTGTGAAACATATAGAATATTACTATTTGAAATTTATAATTTTAAAAAATTAAGTTTTTCTGTAATTTTTTTAACCACTCTTTGCATGCTTCTTTATAATGAAGTTGACAGATATTACAATTAAAATTTCTTTATTATGATTGTCCACTGACATTTCTTGAAATTTTTTGTGCTTCTTAATCCCGTTTAATATTTTTGATACATGCTATTTTGTGATATTTCGTGATATTACTTTTTCTTTATGCGTGATTTAATTTGCTTAGTGAACATGCAATTGAATTTTCATTCTGCAACCTTAGTCGATTGGCTTTATTAGTAGGCTTAATTATGAAAATGCAAGTTATAGATGCATATTAGGTAGTTGAGCAAAGATGCACTTTGACAAAAGTACAGTGTTTTCCCTGAACACGTCTTTTTATTAATTTTTTCAGAAAAGATTGTTTTCTTAACCACCTGTGTTAATAAGAAGTAAATTTCTGATATACAGTAGGGAACCGATTATCCGGAACGATCGGGACCATTGCCATTCCGGATAACTGATTTTTCCGGTTTTCTGAATCGCTACAAAAAGCCGTTTTTTTGTTGTTAAACCAAACTAAAAAAAATTTTTTTTTGGAAATAATCTAAAAAGGAAGAAAAAATGATGAAGTAATACACTGATGATTATTTCCAAAATGATTCTAAGGTAAACATCTTTCGAAAAAGAAAGAAAAATACTAAAATCTTATGAGGAAAAAAAAATTTTTTTTTAAAAAATGGTTGGAAAATTTATCGAATTTCGTTCCGGTTTTTTGGTTTTCCGGTTTTCTGATTTCCGGATAACGGGTTCTGTACTGTATTTTGTTATTGATATTTATTATTTCCATTCCTACATTTTAGTAAGATTTTTCTTGTTGTCTAGTTATATAGCTAAAATTTGCACGAGTTTCGGCCTCAGCGATATTCACATCTTTTATTTGAAGGGAGGTATTTTAATGAATATTTTAGAGATTTTAAGTTTCACCATTTATTTTCACCATTATTAACCTTTTTGTTTAAAAATGGCACTTCAGATATTTATTTTCTCTTTCTCAGTTTAATTTATTTAAAAAAAAGACCTTCAAGTTGTAATTAATCTTTTTTTTNAAATTTTTTTTTTTTTTTTTAGTTTACTTTTTTTTTTTGAAGAAATGTTATACACAATGTTTATACACGGATTGTCATCTAGCTTGTCTTTAATTATTTTTCAAAATCTTCAACTTATTCTGTTATTTTGGTAATGAGTGAGAATTGTGACATAAAATATTTTAAAAGGGTAATTTGAAAGTCGGATCAATTTCAGTTATTACATAATATTAAGTATTTTGATAAATTTTAACAGTGTTAACTGAGTGCCCTTTCAAAACTCCAAGTACGCTTTTCTGTGTGTAAGCGCCCTGCTCTTTTTTATTCCTAGGGAGAACTCTGGAACTACACCTGAATTTCAGTGATTTGGATTTCTAATCCTTAGAGTATAGTGAATAGCTGCTGTTTGGAAAATAAAATGTGTGTCGAAATCCCGAATTGTAACTAAATCGGTCACACATTATGAATAATACGCTATTTAAATAAGCAGTTTCGAAACATTAATTTTTCTGAAGATAAATAGTAAAACTAAGCTTTTAATTATATTGAAATTGTAATATGTACAGAAATTTATTTTTGATTAGCTAGTTAAATGATTTTGGAGATATGTTGAGCTAAGCTAAAGAGAAAATAAAGCATATAGAGTTCAAAATTTCTACTGCTTTCTTGACTAGACATTTGGGACCTTTTTTTTTCGAAGGTTAAAAAACCTGTGCAAGTTATTTGGATACTCATTTTAATTTGCACATTGTATCTTCTGATGATGGTGGCAAAGGGGTAATATTATCTACTTCAGATTAAAAGAAATGGAAGTATATTAATGTTTAATCATTTTTGGATTCTATAAAAAATAGCAATGTTAATGCTGTTTACAATGTTTATTTAAAAAAAAGCAATTTTTAATTTATAAATTTTTAAATAGATAATTTTTGTACTAAGAGATTATTATGCTAATATAAATAATACAACTAATAATTTATTAGAAATAGCAGTTGGAAACTTTTTGTTAATATATACAAATAAAAACAAATTTAATTTTTCAACAAGTAAAACAGCATTATTGCTTTATATTCTTCTACAGATTTTAAGATTTTGCATGTTTTCGATAAATTCTATATTGCAGTTCTTTATTATAAAGTTATTAAATTTTTATATTAAATTATTTAAAGTATTTGCTGATTAATGGTACTGTTAACTGATGATATTCCTATGAACAATCATAACTTGCTTAATAAAACTGAACCTTTTGAACTAAAGTAAGATATTCCCTCCATCCTCGAAAACACAGATTGTGATATTTTCAGTGTTTTTCCTATTAGCTATTTTCTTTACCCTTTTCTTTTTCTATATTTTTGGTCAATTTATATTGATTGAATGCCACATTACTACACTTGCTAAGTGGCCATACATTTTCATAATTTCAGATTAAAAGTTTATTTTTGTATTCCGTAAGAAACGATAAATCCATATTTTTACCATGTTTTTGTGTTGATTTTTTAATTTTTCACAAATTATGTCTAAAATTTCATGAAGTAGGTACCTCTCAGAAAAACCTAGACAGACCCCTGTGAAATATTTTATGCTTTGTCATGTGCAGCTGAGGCATGAAACATTTTTATAATTTACATTATTTTTCAAAATTTTTTGAATCATTGAGTTTTGTTAAAATGAAATGACTGCCTCATTATTCAATCTTTAAAGTATATTCGCCTAGAAAGATTTTATTCTTAAGCTTTTGGCTAATACTTAATTTAATAAATATTTTAGTTTTGATACAAAATAAAATCAGTAAAACCTCACGTCTTTGATACCCCTTCTTTCCTCTTATAAAATTTTCCAAACCTCTCCCTCCCCTCCAAGCTTGAAATCATTTGTGGATCCGAATGAATAGTTGATGTTTGAATTTTTTGCTATTTTCACAAAAATTTGTAAACTATTTATACAAATTATCAAATTGTGAATGAATAAAAATATTGAATCTATTTTATTATTTGCACCAGTTTTGTAAATCTTATTATCCAGGATGTTATTTTTAGAATTATGTGGAAAGCAATCAATTGTTTCTGTCTGAAATTAAGATCCGATTATTACAAAATATTGTTTTATGGCAAAACCAAATATGAGAATATATAGAGAGAAAGAAATTAAATGAACAAGCACTCAGCACTCATTATCTATTTTCATTAAATATATTTCATTGTAATTTCACAATTTAATAAATGTTCAAAATGAGCTATAAAGCTAAATTTTATTTTTCCACCCTATAAGTTATTACATTTTTGAAAATTTAAAGCAGCTTATTGTAATTAAAATATATTGTCGCTTGTCCAGTTACAAACTGTCATTTGACCTCAAAAGTTTTATATTATGGTAAACATTTGCTTTATTCTAATGTGAATAGTTAGTTATATATTCGGATCAATTGTTTTTTTTTGTGTATTAAATTGTATGTTACAGTGGTATTTTATTTCACTAATTGGTATATTCATTTTTCAGTAATAACATAATGCATTTTGTGGATGCGAGGAACTTTTTATCAAGGTGAGATAATCAAATCTGCACTTTTTTTAAATTTTTTTTTTTTATGTTATCATTTTGTCTGTTAAACTGTTCATTCCAAAGTCAGTTTGGAAAATGATATGGTGAGATTTTAGCAAAACAATGTTTCTGTATTTAAAAAATAAACAATTCAGGACTTAGTTTAAATTTTTTGTTTACAAACTGAACAGTTAAAGGCTTACACAAATTGAAAAACTACAATCTAAACTAAAGCTTCTTGCTTCTATGGTGATTGGGCAAAAATTTTTGATGCCCCAGGAATTTGAGGGTTAATCTATGAAATAAGCACCTCATGGAATAATCTGTCAAATTGAACATTCCAATTGCTTGAACAATATATTATATTAACATTCTTGGAAACCTAATGGTTATAATTTTGCTTATAAATGAAATTTTTTTTTCTTGGTTCAAAAAGTGATTATATAAATGCTAGACTTTAAACTCTTGTGTCGTAATAAAATTTCTGGATTTTCAAAATCTTGTGGTAAAGGATAGCTATAACTGCCTTTAAAAAATAATTTAGATTTATGATGAAATCGGTACAAATAAAAAAAGTAAAGTGACAAATTAAATGCATGATTTTTAACTCACAAATCATAATATCATAATGACTGTCTGAATCTAAAAAATCACATGGAATTGGTAATAACAAATGTCAATGAACGATAAAAATATTACTTGGATTTATGATGAGATTGGCAAAAATTACTCAAATTCGAAATTTGCATGTTGTAATATCGTGTAAAAATATATGTAAAAGATTTTAGAGTTCTTTTGCATTTCCATGTTGAAAAACATTATTTTACAATGTTTTCACCTGCATCCTATTTAATGTATAAAACATTTAATAACATGCTTAAGAGAAAAGGTATTTTATGACTGATAAGTAAGCATAAATTTTAATCAACTTGAAAATAATTCTGTTTTATTTTTTAACCGAAACAAATAAGACTATTGGGCAATTTGACTGTTAAAGTTTGCTGCTAAATTAAAAATGTATTTGAACAAATAAGGTGTACAAAAAATGTATTAAAAAATTATTTATTTAAATATTAAAATACACATTTTGAAAGTTCATTTTAACTTATATTTTTAAATTCCTTATGCAAGATCACATAACTGTCTGTAAAGAATAGGGATATAACTTGAGTAAATAAAATTCTGTTGCAATTTGTTTATTAGTCCGAATTCCTTTAGTTTTTATAATATAACTTTAATTTAGTATTTTGAATAATCATTAATCAATATAAATCATTATTTTAATAGATTTTGATTTATATATTTAATTTGAGATACATTATTACTGATATTTAATTACTGGTACATTATTCTATTTGAGAAAAATCAAATGGCTTTTTTTTCCTTGTTAAGAGAATTTAACAAAATTTTAACAATGTACGAAACTTTATTTTCTAAAAGTATTTTGAAAAATTTGTAGTAACTAAAAAGTGATAAAATTTTGAATTTCATAAATAAAATAATAATAAATAAATAAACTGTATTCTGGAGAAATAATAGTTTCTGAAAATTTTCTGCACCTCTGCCACATACTTTTGCATCGTATTTTTATAATTATAATTTGTTATGCAACAAGAAAAGTACATAAAGAGAATTAATCATTAAAATAAAGGATTATTTTATATGACAACTTCTCTACTATTTTGGGTGATACCTTTTTTTTTTTATTTTAAATAAAATTCTGATTGTATATTTTTTTTGCTTTATTCCTTTACTGGCTGCCTGAATTACTATTAGAGCATATTTTTCTGTGACTCTCATATAAAAAATATTGATTGTGTATTCCTATTCTAATGTGTTTTGCAGGCTAATGCTGCTGAATATGAAACATTCTATTAAGATGCTTTATTAAATAATTCTGTTCATTTCTACATGATTTTTACCTGCTTATAATTGTAATTTTACTTTTTTAGTCAAGACCCTCAGGGGAAGAAATTTAGTGTTCAGCACTCTAGTGTCTGTGGCCTGCGTCCATCGTTCCTCAGCTAAACTTTCTTGTGACTCAAAAAATAAGAAATCAAGCCTCTTATCAAGCTACATAGTTATTAATCGTCATTTGCTGTGACTTATTCATTCTAGTTCCTCGAAAACTTTAGTAAACTCCTTGCTTCTCTCTTATCACCTTGAAATACCTTTTAAGCCTGCCCTTCTCTATAGGAAAAACAAAATTTGATACTTCTTCAGCACTCTCCCCTCTGTGGAAAGAAAAAGGAACAGCTGTTGAAAATGAATATTGTGCTAATTGAAACGCGGAAATTTCCCCTGCAGTTTCTTCAAGATTTGGAACGCTTTAACCTTGCGTAACGACATTGGACGTAAACAACTCTTTTTTGCACATGGAAAAAAAAAACTTGGCATTTATTTGTTTATCAGCACTTTAAGTAAGAAAAACAAAAACTCCAATTAGTAAAAAAAAAAAAAAATCAATGAGCGGACTTCAGTGTGGACCTAGTTTAAACTCCCAAACTATTTACAAAATAAAAAAAACTCTAAAAAATTGACTAAAAACTGAAATAAATGTTTGTGACGGTCTCTTAAAATGTGAAATGAATGGGGGAAAAATTGACCGTCCAAGTTGATTGGACTTTTATTATAATTACACTGCAGGAATGAACAATAAAGGACGGTATTCGTATGTGTTTTGCTCTGTCATCTGCCTAAAAAAATTATTTTAGTGTCATCCCTTACAATAGGTTACGTTTCTTTTATTGGAAAAATCTATGAAGAAATCTATTAAATTGAATCCCTCTCCTCCTTCCTGTTGAAGAAAATGTTCCACGGGGAATAAAGTGGTGAATTTCATTCTAAGTGCAATCATACAGTGTTTTAATGGGCATGGCAAACAGCATTGTTCTAGGCAAGTGCCTGTTTTTATTTCTAATACAAGCAATCTTATAAACAATTTTATGAAATTTATTAAACAAAAAAACTCACAAATATAGTAAATTTTAGAATGTAAAAAAATATAGACATATTACTTTATTGCCTTGTAAAATTTGCTTGTGTTTTGTAAAAAGAAAGTGATATCAAAAGCATGCACGCTATGTTGTAGAACTTATTTAATTCCCTATTTGTAAATTGTCTTAACAATTTTATGACAAATTCATCGCCTGCCAGTAACTTTGTTTATTAATTAATGTATATTACATGTATAGATATAATTGAGATATATAAGCTAAATGAATTGTACAGAAATAGAAGTATATACTTTTTTCTTTTCAAACCACTGATGAAATCCTGAAAGTATCTTTAAAATCATTTTTATTTCTGTATGTTCAAATGACGAGTTTATGAGAATCAATGTTTTAGAATCGTTTTAAGTGATGTCACAGAATTTCTTTCCTGTTCCTCTCATTCGCTTAGCATATTTAAAAGTATAAAATATCTATTTCAATATATTCATTTTTAGTTTTTTTTGCTTTAATCTTTTTGTATTATGAAGTTAAATGATTTTTTTTAAATATATATGCAATTTTATTAAAATATTCAAAACATGGCTTTGTGAGCCTTGAGTAATCATTGAAGTTATTATGATTTTTGAGTAATTAAAAATTGTTATCAAATTGTTATGTGTTTATTTATATCAGTTAAGCTGGAAATGAAAAGTAATATATCTATATTACTGTGCTAACTATGTTTTATGGGCAAAGGTATGCAGAAAACACTTAATTTCTAGTGAGTGTTATGTAACTTTAAATTTAATACTTGTTATGTTTTTTCATTCAAGAGAATATTTATTTTTTAAAACAATGCTTTTTCGACAATGGGAGTTTTCTCTTTTGACTTATAAAATTTTTCTTGTTAAAAAGTATTATAAAAGACATTACCTCTGTGTTTTCTGCTGAAAATGCTATATAGTATGAATCTTAACAATGACAGAATGTTTTTACACTTGGTAGCTGTCTGAGATTCGTTACCAAATGTAAAAACACTGTTATGCTTTATATTTAATCCTAGTATGGGTAAAGGTTTTGATGTTTTTGAATGTACGCTTTTCCTAATGCATACTGGTTATGTGCTTTTTCTCTTTAATGAATTATCTGATTGTAGCATTATGCTTAGTTTGAATAATTATGTTTTTTTTTTTTTCAATAGATAATTTTGAGAAGCAGTATATAACACCCATACAACGTATAGTTTAATAAATTTTGGTATTGGCTCATAAAGAATTACAATAATAAAGTTTTCATTGTAGATTCACTCTAATTGTAATTGTTATTTTTGTGCCTATGCCATGCCAGTATGTTGTTTCATAAGGAAGGTTCCTCCAATTTCCTTTTTATCAATTGCCCTTCATGCAGCCAGTTTAACCAGTGGCGCTTAGCATATATCTTTGGGTAAAAAATAAAAAAAAATAAATGATGGTATTATGGAAATAAAAATTTGATTAGCAGTGTTCATATTTGTTATGTGATTTGATTTCATGTTTCTTTTTTTATTTTAAAGGCTATTTCATACATAAAGAGATATCAAAGGGAAAACAAAAAAAGCCCATAAAAGGATAACTTGATGTATAAACAGCTAGCCAAAATGGCAGATAATAATCAAATGATAGCAATCTGTTAATTTTATTAGCATGGTTTTTTGTAGTGCTTTTGCCTAAGGGAAAAAAAAGTCAAACTTAAAACCTGAAGCAAAGCTACAATTTTAAACTATATATATCATCTTGCCTTGAAGAATTATCTTTACTTTAAAATGGATAAATAACTTAAATATTTTGAAAGTTATTAAACTTTTCTAAAGATCACCAATTTAGTGAGGTTTTTCCACCTTGATGATTATCACAATCCATGAATTATTTTCAATACTTGCAAATTTTTAGAATCTCAGATAATGCAGTAACTCTTTAAATATGAAAAAGGAAAAACACTTCATTTTCACAAAATTGTGCTTTTTTTTTTCTTTCATATTGACATTTTTCACTATGTTCATAATAAGCATAGAGAGCACTGGCTTTAGATACACTATACTTGACCGAACAGTCGTGAGTAACTTGCATATTAAGCAGAAAATAGCATGTTTGCAAAAAATCATTTCACACTTCAACAGAGCCTTCGAAAAGCTGCCTTAATTTATTGTTACCAAACTATTTAATTCAATTTAGGAATCGTGATTTGATTAAATATGTGAAACTTGGGAGAATTTTATGCATGGTGATATTGAATGAAAGCTTAAATCACACTTAGAATAATGAAACTTGCCTTGTGAGCACATCAGTGGAGGTACAGGCTTTTTCTTGTCTACAATTGGTTAAACTATCCATAATTGTTATAATTATTTTAGTAATTGATTTTGAGCTAAATCTTTTTGATTTTATTAATGGGAAAACAACAATAAAAAGTATATGTTTATTTACTTAATATTACATTATTAAAGAATGCATTAATATTCAGGCTATCCCCTCCAGCCCTGGTCAGGGCCTCTCAAAAGGGTTTTTCGGCCTCTGGGATAAGCGCACGTTTGAAACTCTCATTGCAAAAGAGTTAGACACTAAATAAAATGTAGTGGCGATAATTGTGTGCAAAGTGGGAACTAAATTTAAGAGAAGTAGTCTGGATAAAGTGACAGAAGTTTCACCCCATATTTTTTAGCACCTGTAGATGTTACAAAAATAGGCATCTTGGTGAATTTTTTATAAAAGGAATAAGTATCTATTGAAAAAGTTAGCATTTAGATTTGTGTGACACATTTAATTGGTAATTAGAATAGACATTTTGCTTGCCCACCAGTTTTATTTAAATTTTTTAAACCTATACGAAATGCTTTTTGCTATTTAATTTTTTTCTTTTATCATTAATCAGACACAGGAGCTAAGTCTTCAATGTGAGTATTCGAATATATAATTTTTATAGATATAAGATTTTTGGCATATAATCACTGTTGTCGTCCAACCTCTCGCCATCTTATCAGCTATAGTTTAAGGGAGCACCTATTGGCAACTACTTTTTCCAGTTGTCATACTCACAAATATTGGTCCCAATGACTGATAATCGTGATTTTAATATGGTGATGTTTTGTAAAGTAAAGTTTATGATGGTTTCATTTAAGGTGCAATAATATAGTTGGAGAATTAAAATTTGCGTTTAAAAAAGATAACAATAATTATTATTTATATTTGGTAGAAGAAAGTTTTAAGAGTTTAATTTAAACTCGTCGAAATTCTAATGCCCTTTGGGTAAGTATACCTTGGATTAAATACTACAGCTCTTTAATTTTTGATAACTTTCTGGTAGGCTTGCGTTATTTGTTAAGCTTTTAGAGTATGAGGTAGGTTAATTTTAAGTAGGTATTTTTTTCGATATTATGTCTGCTTGAATTTAAAAAGAAAAAAAAGTTTTGTAATTATGCTTTTTCGATGATAGCGCTCGTCAAAACAATTTAAAAGAAACGTATTTTAATTATTGCATGCCTATAACTTACCATTGAGGGACAAACGTAAACATCGCAAAATGATCCAAAAAAATATTCGTAATCTGTAACACATGGCATCAGTGAAAAGATATTAAGGAAAGTTTAAACCAGTGATTCCCAAAGTGGTCTATATCGACCCCCAGGGTTCGACGACAACCTGCAAGGGGTCCATGTTGATAATTTATTATTAAAGCATCAGGTTCATCCCTCCCTCTCACTAAAAGCATTTATTTATTGCTTAATTATTTTATATAACAGATACTAAATTTTAATTTGATTCGTTTTAATTTGAATTTAATTAATGAGTAAAATAACTTCATTACAGTTAGAAATATTAATCTTTCACAGTGAGTAGTACTATACCAGCAGTCAAAAATACATTTGAAGGTGATGAATTTACAAAAAATCAATATCAGGTAAGCAGGGGGTCTACCCAAAACAGAAAAAACATGGCAAGGGTGTCTACGAGACAAAGAAGTTCAGGAACCACTGAAACAATGGAATTTCGTATTTTCAATATTGCGCAATAGTTTCGTACTGCTAGCAGATGTGAGTGCTTACAAACCACCATGAAAATTTCAAACAGCGCAAAAGTACACGATCCATATTGGTGCTTCTATTCTTGAGTTATTAGCGAACATCGTATCAGATCGACTTCTGCTTTTATATATAAATAGATATATGTTTAATAACATTTGGATGTCCGCAAGTGACGTCATAGTAGGTAATTTAAAAAGCAGATTCGTCACTCAAGCGTATAGTTACTAATAGGTGTACAATTAAATCTGATTTATATCACGTGGTTAGGTGTAAGCCTAATAAAGCCTAAAATATAAGGTGATAAAACATAAAAATTATTTTTTTGATGTGTTATTTGTGCTTTTGGATTAAATTAAAAACATACATTAAGGTAACAACAGGGCCTAAAAAGTTATGAGAAAAGGAAAGATAAATCTATTCTAATAACTTTTTAGGCACCATAGTATGAAAAATTAGATTTTCGTTTTATTTTGAATAGCTGGTCGGTTATTTTTAACTACTAAGTTGCCATCTTGCTAAGAATATCTTGCGACAAATTTATTGATAATATTTTCAAAATTGAACCTTGGGTTAAATATTTTGCATGATCCTTAAGAAAAAGAATCTGCTAGGATCCTCTTAGATATTCGCAAATTGGATTCCTATTTGTTCCTATTGTTCTTCCTATTTGTTTTTTTAAGAACGAACAAATTTAACTATTTTTTTCTATTATGATTATTTTAGATATTTGCTGATTGATATACAAGGTGCGGAACCTTCAGAAGTAAAAAAAAATTGCTTAGGAATTTCGCTTTAATAATTTTATTTTTTAATTTCTATTGACAGAAATGTGGAGATAATTGCTTTCAAAAGTCCTGCAGGTTGCTGCATTTATTTATAAATCGTAAATAAAAAATACAAGACTTAAGTTTTCGAATTTCATTATCAAACATAATTTTTGAAAAAAAAAAAAGAAAATCGCTCGATTCTAGTAAAATGCTTCTTTTACTTGATCCACATAACATATATAATTTATTATTTAGCCTTTAATTTTTCTGGTAGGGCCCCATTAAACTGTTTATTATGGAGCTCCTTATCATTAGGGCCCTTGTATTGGTACTGTAAGTGGCAACGTCTAAATGAAGGAAAAATATTGCTTAAGAAGTTACTACTTTCATTTTTGAATGCTAAAAATTTATCGCCTAAAACTACTGTTTCACGCTAAGTTTTTTTTTTCCGTTTATTTTTTAAATTTTTTCTATTATTGAAGTTTATATAATTATATTTTTTTTAACATTACTGTGAGACCTATAGTGGCTCAAAGCCCCGAAATTTTACTCATGTATAGCAGAAAAATATAATAAAAAGTGCTTTTCTAAAATATTATTACGTAAATTTAATAATGAAAAAAAGCTTCGAAGTATCCAATGCCTTGGTCGCCTTTCTCTCAGGCGGGCCTTGTAAAGTGGTAATTTATTATTATTACTTTCTTTTATAAATTATAGGAGTTTAACAAAAAAAGTCTTATTTCTTAGCTGAGCGTTGACATGCAACTGGATAATCTCATGAAAAAGTTTGATTTTTATGTCCCTTCTCAGCTTTTCCAAATATGGCTAATCATTGACTCCCAGGCCAGGATATTCTGGTTGTTAAGCCACTAGGCCTATGCCCAAGAGGTCGTGGGTTCGATCCCACGGACCGAAGACTCCCCATGTAGTAAACGGTGACTGATGCACGTTAAATATGTCGGGTCACGAAGTTGATGCTTTGTAATACATGTTACAATGAGTTGTAACATCCATGTTCCATAAGCAAATCATACCTATGAGGGTATTGATCCTGCTGTTTCCTTGTCTTCTGGATTGGGTTCAAAATTACAAGGTTACGGAGTTGAACATTATTAGTTGTTAGCCCAAAATTGAGCCAGCTGTTCAACGACGGTTACAAAAATATAAAATATCCTCAATGGTTGACGCATCATGGTTAAAAACCCCTTGCAGTCGGGATGACCATGGGAGATTTTCGTGGTTTTACCCCCATGTAAGGCGAATCCCGGTTAGTTCCTTCAAAAACTCCTCTCCGAAAGCTAGTTTGTTTCAGTGCTTGATCCAGGAGTTATTTTGCCTTCTGGGTCAGGTTCAAAATTACAAGGCTACGGGATGGAACATTGATTGTCTCAGGGGTGATTGTGCTCCGGAAAAAGTCCGGATTTCCGGAATTTTCGCTAACTGTGATCCGGAAGTTTCCGGAAATCGAAGGTCCAGTTGTTTAAACAAATCATTGATCACGAAAGTTTCAGGAAATCAATGATACAGGCTTGCCACAGGCGACTATTTGCTACTATTTTCAGCCTATGGCGCTTTTTTTTTGTTGCCTGAAAAGGCTAAAAAAAAGCAACTATTTTCAGGAATAGGCGACTATTGGGAGACTTTTTTACTTTTGGCGAAGCTTTTTCGCAAAAATGAACG